AATTAAATTGGCATCTCCAAATAGAATTAACTGATGAACTTGTGATCCTTCAGACATCAGTATCAACTATCAGCTTACGGCGTAACCTGTTAAAATGTAATAGTGGGAGTCGTCTCTTCTCGAGTGACGCTTCCTCTAATCCATATTCGCCACCATTATGTTACATGCTCTCGACACGATGGGTATGGTCAGATTAGTTTGAGAATTATCCCTAATATCTGCCACCATCGTATAATTTTTCCGGAGGTACAGTAGGATCCTGTCTTCCCTGTATGTACCTATCGCAATGTAGCAGAGATCTATAGTGCCAACTACTGAAATGTAAACTGAAACCATGTTGCGTCTGCAAATAAATTTAACATTCAAATCAAAATACCGACATATGTAGTCACATCCGCGCTCCTCAAATACAGTTTACCCTCTTATCACCAATCAACTCTGTTTCCACACCAATGAGCCGCACCATTTGTCACGACCCTGCTCATTGCTGAGTTACCACATGATAGGGTGAGCATTGCCCAACGTGCGCTCATCACTGGCGGCACGCCGGCGCGCATACATACATACAGAGAGCTGCGGCGGTGACCGGCGTCCTAATGCACCGTGCCGAGCCAATCCTGTCACTGGCCGCACGTGCAAATCGAGAGGAGCGCCCGACCCCTGACGGCGCTGATCCGTCCTCCCCGTCACATTCTCGGCATGCCGTGACGTCGTGGAAGCGTCACGGTTTCCAAGGAAGAGGTGTCCGGGTACGAATTGAGCACTGGGAGAACCAACAGTCGCATGCATCCACTGACCAGTGCGCCGCCCACGGCGGGTCTTTCAGGACCGTAGTAGGGAGTGTGGCACGGATTATCGGGACGGAAGTCATACATCATCCTGCAGTACAGATCGATATGCTCTCTGATGACCGGATACCTAGCCTGGCAGACTGCGGTCGGCCAGGGAACATAACATGCCGTTGCTAAAGGTTAGAACCTCAGCATCATCGGGAACACAGTACAGAGCTTCAGAGGCGGCAGGAAGACGGTGGGAACATGTAGCTCCCCAGCATCGGCGAGGCACGGATAATAGGCATATCAAAATCCCAATGCATCAGAAGCTGGCGGATAAAACGTCAGCTGCAATAGCTTTTAGAGCCACATCAGCCACAGAGAGGCAGCATGTTCCCGCTTTAGCGTCAGACAGATAGTCGAGTCTAGCAGCACTGGCAGACGGTACACCGAGCGTGTCGCAATGACCCCTTCAGAAGGCCGACAGACAAGGTCACCGGCCATCAGTAGGCCAGCATCGGTCACTGACTATTAGTCAGCGGTCAGCAGCCAAATAGTCGTAAGTCGATAGATAGTAATGGTCAGTGACCTGTGATCAATTGAGTGAATCCGCCAACCCAGCGGCCAACAGTCGCCGTTTTTATTGAAGCTCCCATCCCAGCAGACCAGCCTGATTCCCTCCCTGTTGCGTCGCAGAGAAGCCAATAATATACGGCCGTCGGCTTACCAGGCCGCCGAGGGCCATACGCAAGCATGCATTCATGGTTGAGCAATATTCAGTGGCGGCGGCATGCTGCCTGGAAACTATCTCCAGGGGCCACGGGGGTACAGCTGGGACATGCAAGATAGGTGGGACAGGCAGGATAGGTGGGACAGGTTAGGTAGGTGGGACACAGGAGCAGAGCGGGAATGTAAGGAGTCGGTGGGACAGGTTGGATATTGGATAATGGGACACGTGCAGTAAAAGGGACAACAGGGCTAACTTGGACAAGTGTGGTAGGTGGGTCAGGTATGACGGGCCACTCCTACATGCCCAATAAGGTGTCTGACCAGCGTATATTCAAGTAGTCGGCAGATCTTTCACCCGGTCCGGGTCCGCCATGACCTGTCTGTCCGTCTCCCGTGCAATCGTCTGGCGTCCATCCGTCCGTCTCTAGTCTGCTGTCATCCAATCTCCTGTCTCCCGCCTGTCTCCCGTTCTCTGTCTCCGTCCGTCTCCGTTTCCCATCGTCCTTATCTCCGTCTCCCGTCCTCCGTCTTCGTCTCCGTCTCCGTCTCCGTCTCTCGTCTTCAGTCTTTCGTCCTCCATCCGTCCGGCTCCATCAACCCGTCTCCCGTCCTTCGTCTCCGTCGTCCCGTCTCCGCCCGCCAGCGCTGCATGACGCTGCGCCGCCACCCATTCAGGCTGTCATTCATTGTGCCGCGTGCCGGGCCGCTGCGCCCATGCGCACCGTTTACACTGCCGCCTGCTAGAAACAATCGTCGACGACCCTTCTGCCGAGGCGTCAATGTGGAATCGGCAGTGTCACGCGTCGTGTCGTAATCGCGCCACCCGGGCGACGATGGGGGGGGGGGGGGGGGTCGGACGGCCGCCCGTGCGGGCCATTGTCAGTGGCGGTTTTGTTAAATGACAACAGGTTATAGACAGGTGCTCAAATGAGTCGGACGTGCCCTTAGAAGTCAGGAGTGTCGAGTGACGCTGTCGCGACCCGGGCTGTTATGACTGGGTCATGGGCGAAGAAAGGTATGCAGGTAAATGGATAGGAAACCGGTAACTAATTAATTAAGGAAGACGGCGGAGCGGCGTCTCAGATTCAGCGAGGTGCTGATTGAATATCGCCGGGTCAGCGGGGTGAGAATCATGGGCAGGTCAGGGGTATATGATATGATGCAGCGAGATATCCTTGTTTATCTGCCATGGACGTCGGATCATTAGAACACGTACACACACGAACACGAGCATACACACGTAGACACACGTAGACACGTACGAACCGGGAGTTCAACTAACTGAACATTGAATATGATATCCGATTTTGGTGAGCGGATACCTGTCTTCCCAGAGAGCTAAAAAAACTAACGAAAGTAGCGTGAAGCGGTTCATAACATTCGAGAAAGCTCGCAAAACCTGCAAAGCAAAGAAGCTCGACTGCTTCTTTATCGCATGATAAAAAACGGTGGCACCTGAGTTAATCAGGGGTCGAATTTCGGATTTTCTCGACTGAAGTTAATAATATTCGACAAATGATATAACAATACGAAATGGCTAAATCGGCTTGGCATGTCGGGAGAAAAGAATAGAGCACTGAAATCACATTCCGCAGTATACCAACATATTTGACCTGAGGTCAACTGTTTGGCCTTAAAGATCAAAAAGAAAAGAAAAATAACTAGCTTTTCGTAGGTGTGTTTGTAGGCCAATCTTCTCCGTGCTGTAGGTATGTACATAATTATTATGAGGCACTGAGGCGATGACACATAATTTACCTTACATACACTAGCCTTACGTTAGTTCGTTTGTCTCGATTTTTATCTCGATACGTTTTTCATTAAAACAGCGACTGTGGCAAATTACTAATAAAGCTGCGGATTCGGAGTCCGAGTCAGAGTCGAAGTCGGTCGAAGTCGAAAGTTCTGACTGGAGTCAGAGTCGATAATGGAAGCTAGATTCGGAGTCGGAGTCACTAAAATCCATCAACTACGCAAACCTGCAAGGCTGCGGACTCGGAGTCGATTTTTGGAAGCCAGGGCCGGAGTCAAAGTCACCTAAAATTCATCGAATCCGCAGCACTGATTTTTAGCATAAAAAGTGAATTTTGATGTTAGATCACTTAATATCTTCAAGTTATGGGGTCAAGGTTTTAAGGACGTATTCACTATGCATATAATTGCAAGGGTTGTGCAAAATTTGGTGGGAGGTCCAATGTCCATTTCCCATTCGTCATGAGCTATGTGTCGGAAAGTTTAGCCCGCCTTGTCATCTGCATATATTTTTCAAAACAACTATGCTGTCTGCAACCTAAGGTTCGAGTCCTTCCATAATCAATCACATAATGACAAACGAGGAACTACCACGCAGAAAAAGAGTACCTCTTAGTCAGTCTGACTCATGTAAGCGCACAAACAGTAGGACAATGCTCTCCCTAAGTCGCATACAATGGGTCATCCCGCTGCTACGTGAGACATGCTAACCCGACAGCCGGCTTCCACAGGTTCGGATTAACGCGGAGCTGACAAATAGTGGGGGATTAACTGGCAGACACCCGATCGAGAATCTGATGCATCGCTGCGGTTATTTGTGCTGCAAAGTTCGGACGCTGAATGAGTAAATGATCCTGCAGACTGGTGACAATCACCTAACGGAAAAGCTCACATATTCGTGGTGAATAGATAAGCGGTAGCAACATGGACAAGCTGTAGCTGAGTGTAGGTGTACCTACATCGTGATAATCAGCTGAGCTGATTGCCATGTGCGAGCGACGCGATGGATCAGGTTACTGGCACAGGTGCAGCTCCCTTTATTTAGGCTTTCTTCATAGTTCAATTAGAGAAACATTTTTTTTTCATTGAATAATCCATTGCCCTATCCCTGACAGATATGAGACAAGATTAGCTTGTTTTCAAAACTGGAGTACCTAAGTCTTGTTTTGCATTGCACAGCAGCACACAGGAAGCTAAACCGAGGAGGGTCTGGAATTTTGTCTGAAATGAGTATCTGAAGACTTTTGGGCAGTGACCTCGCAGCACCTAACCGTAACAGTGACCAACTGTCAATGCTCCTCGCAATGCCCGGCTGACTGCAAATGGTTGCAAGGCTATCCAAAAAAAAAAAATCATAATTTGCAACCTTGGGGAAACAATAACCCGTAGGCAATGTGGCAAGCATAATTTCTATGTAAAAGCAGCAAAGCCAAACCGAAAAAATGTCTGGAAGAAGCCCACAGTCACACAATAGATTGTAGGAGTATGAGATTACCAGCATCTCATCGAACACAGGTTGCATAGGTGTCCCTTACAAAACACGCGGAAATCCTTTGGTGATTCGTACTTCGCCAACATCCATCAGTATGGCCCGGTTGGCGTCGGACCAGCTCGAGAAAGTAGCGACTGAATTACCGACCATGTGTCGCCAGTGTCCACGGGCCAGTGTCCCAGGGGATAATCCCCCGAGCTACCTCAGAGACTGCACGGGCGACGGGGTGACGTGACACCGACCGTCTCCCATCCGGACCGCGCCCCTGTCCGCTCCATGTGCCCTACGCCCTCGGTGCAACACTCAGAGGGCCCGGCGCGAACAGTGGCGAAACTGTCGTCTGTGACTGAGTCCCGGCAGCAGAGGTGGCACACTGGTGACATTCTTGGCGGGGCTGGCAGCAGCGGACAGTGCTGAGAGCCGCCGGTTGCAACAGCTCGCGGCTGGCCGGCCGGCCGGCGCGGAGCTGTGAGGGGCGTCCCGGCGCCTCGGGCGGGAGAGGAGGCCGCCGGGCCGCCTTAAATACCGGGGGCCCCGGCAGACGGCATCACAGTCCGCCGCCGCCGCAGCAGCAGCAGCAGCAGTGCCTCCGCAGTCGTGACAAACCCACCCAGACAACCATGAAGCTGGTGAGTGAACGACTCGCCAGCGAAGACGAGCCGGCGCAGGGAGAAAGACCTCGCGGATTTTCTAAAGATTTCGGTGGTTCGGAAGTCCAAAACAGTCCAAATAAACCTAAATAATTGCAAAAGCTTGTGGAAAGGCTCCCGCATCAAATTCTAAACATTCCTAAATATGTTTTTGAAAACGTAAAAACTAAGCAAAAATATAAATAGCCTTAATTACCTAACAACAATTTCACCTATTTAGTGCTAAGTCGAAAAGCCCTAAATCACCGTTCCAACCATAATGGCGAGAGCCTACTTAGGCCACTTCGGCACTCTTATTTGCTCAACGATGGCTTGGAAAATATTTGTCTGCATTTCCATACGTTGCTGTCACTGCCAAAAAAAAAACAAAAACAAAAAGATTTATCCAAATTTTGCCGTTCACCCGGTCGCCTTCTTTTCCCGTCTAATTCCCATAGAGGCCAAAAACTAAGCAAGGAACACCACTTAGCGTCGGCTGTGATAAATAATCCACAATTTCTAAACCTTCCTTCCAAAATTATGAAAATAAGAGCTTAAAAACGACCAAGTCAGTCAGAAAGGTAATTTATTTGTTCCTTCAGTTTCAAATGGATCCGACAATTTAAACAAGTAAATTCGTCAAAACTTCAAATGCTAACTCTTCCCGTTGCTTCTTTGAAAATCATACACTAAATGGAGCCGCCATTTCGACCCCAAAGTACCCCTTCTCTTCACAACCTCAGATCATGTGCTGCGTCCAGCTGATGTCGGTCCTGGTACGCTTCTCTCTCTCCTCTCAAGGGGTGTTCCCTGATCCCATCTCAGCTAATAATTGTCGAGGGTAGCCCTCCCTTCCCAGATAATGCTCTCTCTGTTTCGCCGGTACTTCTCTAGAGTGATCCCTTCCTCTCTCCAATATTCTCCATCCTGCCAATGCTGCTCATAAGGAACGTTGTGTCCCCTTAGATCATGTCCTTCATCCCGCGCAATGTTGCTCCTAAGCGGCTCCTCCTCCCTTCTTAATTCATGATCTCTTCTTCGGCCATGTTGCTCCTAAGTGACTCCTCCCAAGATCATACTCTCTGCCCTGCTGATGCTGATCCTAACCAGCCCCCTCTCCCCCGATCGTGTTCCCCACCCTGCTGTTGCTGGCCGCCCACTGACTCCCTCTCTCTACCGCTAGTTCGTGTTCTCCGCTCTGCTGGTGCTGGCCGCCGCCCGGCCGCAGGACTCCCTGGACTCGCTCGAGCCCGAGGTGAAGGTTCTCAGCGAGAGGTTCGAGCAGGATGAGCAGGGCAGCTACCAGTACGGCTACGAGCTCGACAACGGACAGAAGGTGAGGCGCAGACCAAGTGCGGAAAGGTCAGATTGAACACCATAGACACGGGACAGACAAACAATTTAATCGATAAGTCTTCAATTTTATTAGAGAATGTGTAAAAGCTGTATAACTAATATTGTTCACAACCCTTTAGATTCCTGGCAAGCAGCATAAAGCAACCGACACAAAGTAAAAGGCAACCGACATACAGTACAAACCGGAAGAGTGGTAGCTATTCAGAGAGCAGTAGCAGAGGCCTTCCTGGTAGATAAACTTTATATATCTCCCCCAGAAAGGACGGGTCTTCACTCTTCTGTGTAAGCTCGAGCTCAAAATATCAGTCTCAAGCTCCATCAAGTATTCACAAAATGGAGACCACTGCATTCGATATGTGACTTGCGACAAACTGCCAAGTCATGGCAGCTGTGGACTCTCCTCACGATGACTCGCGACCTGTGACCCGTGTCTGACCGTCCCCTTTCTGTCCTCAGGTGGATGAGCAGGGCACCGTTGTGCCGGGCCCCGAGCCGGAGACGGGCTCGCTCGAGGTGCAGGGCAGCTACTCTTTCCTCGGCGACGACGGCGTCACCTACACGGTGACGTACACGGCCGGCGAGCAGGGCTTCCAGGCGCAGGGCGACCACCTGCCCCAGGCGCCCGCCCAGATCCCCGAGTACGCCGAGCTCCGGGAGAAGTACCCGCAGCTGTTCTGGGCCGAGAACCAGCAGCCCGCCGAGGCCGCGCCCGAAGACGTCCTCTTCTAGATGGAACATCACCCCCGACCGACCGTCCGTCTCCGAGCACCCCCCAGATGACGTCATAAGTCAGCTGATGACGGTAGCCATCCGTCGCCCTGTCCACCGACGGCGCCGTGCGCCCGCGTATGACACTGGCATACACCCGCGCGCGGAGGCCTCACAGGGTAGTGGCAACGGAGGGCAGTGTTATTTGTGATACTGTATATATCATGTGCGTTGCACTGTTGTTCCTATTTCTAATAAATGTCCAACCAAATGAGCTTTAGCATTTTCTTACGACCTGTCCGACATCGACTGAGGTTTCCGACTGGCGTGCGCATTACACTCACTAATGAACAGAAAAAAAACTATTTTTAAGTGCATTGGCCCATGAGACATGCATCCATTATAGGGGTGCAAATCTTTTGCAAGATTCGCTGTCCATTGAATGGGGCCTTGGCCCCTCGCCACTGCGTATGCACCGAGAAACCTTTTGAAAAAGTCAACGAAAAGCGGCACCGGTCAAACTGCGCAAGAGTAATGCAGCTTTGGTAAGGTTTATAAAAGGTCAAGTTGAGAGTTGACATCGGGTCGAGAGCAGATGCAATTGACTCAGGTTACCTATTTGACGCTTTAAAGTCGTGTCTTTCAGAAAGTGTTATTCAGAATTTCATTCAAAGCAAATTCGTGTCTTTCTAGAATCCAGCTGAGCGTTATCAAAAGTAGGCCTCTAAGAAAGTTGAATGGGCTTTTCCATCCGTTCAATTCCACAAATTCAAGACCCAAGAAGTTTTGTGCTCCTGTCATCGAAATAAAATATCTGGATCCGCCGCTTCGGGCCTCATCCGGTACACGCTCGCCACCTGCTGAGCGCGCCGCTGGAGACTGCATCTAAGCATGCCATCTTACACCAAACCCGACGGGCCGCGGCGGCCCAATGAAGGCGATACTTGATGGGGCAAGGATAGTGCGTAGTGTGTGATATGGAGTGAAAGAGCGACTAAAGACGGGCCTTTATAGCGATATGTACAGGGATATAAGGCGGAACTGGCGACGGTCGCTTGGACGGTTGAATAATAAAGCGCAATGTAGTATGTAGGTACCACTCTCGGTGATCGTTTCAATGACAGGGAGCCCAAACGTGTGATTCAGCCTTCTATTTATCGGACAAAACAGAGCCGTACAAAAACCATCTGGGTCAGTTGTCTAAACGTTTTGTAGATGCAGACTACCTAAGCATAACATCACACGCTGGCGAATTCTGCAAATTGGCGGCCGAACAATGCGCAGTTTTTGTACACCAATCCGATAGTCGGTCTGTTATGGCGGACGGGCGCCATGTAGGTATGTATATGCCTGCATCGCCAATCTCGTTTCTCCCGTATCACTAGGGCTCTCCCGTATCGCCATCCCCCGCATCACTATATCTGGGTAAGCTTCTTGTCATTTCGTACCAACGTCAGCTCTTACACCGGTACTTTCTAAGCAGAAGTCATACCGAAAGAAAATCCGTATGCCACAAGCCACCTCGTTTATAATACAAATACCTTCGCATGACGCACCACGCCTCTCTTCAGTCTCTCCCACCCTTGTGTTAATCCACACTCGTACAAGCCCCCCACCGTCATCTCAGAATAGCCCCCATCGTCCTCGTCTGGCCACTGTCGGATGTCGCAAGTGGCCACCTGTAGTGCCGCTGCCGGCGCGGTGGCTCAGAAAGGCTGCCGAGTCCCTCCCCCTCCCCTGGACAGTTCCCTCGAGTCCGTCACACCGAGTTACTGGTTACACGTCACTCCTCTCTAGGCTGCCTACTAACCGAACCCACCGTCTGAGGTCGTTATTAGCGCTCTGCGGGGTGCGGTGCTTCAAACGACAGCGCGTGATGAGGCGGGTGACAGAACATCTCCTGCCTCGGGCGGTACATCTCCGGAGCACGGAGAGACGAGAGAGACACGCGGGAGACGCCCCGTGACGGGCCGACTGCCCCCGGGTAGGAGAGTGCCGACGGTAAATGAGCCGCGGAGCTATGAGAGATGAACACCGGTAGGGGATAGGGACAGAGGACAGGAGTGGGCACACCATGTCCTTTGAAGGTAAGGGACAGAGACACGAGGACACGGGTGAGCACAGCGTGTCCGCCAAGGACGGCCACCGCGCTGCCGACCTTGACCGCTGGCCGCACATCCGCGCATCACTGCCCCCCGGGAGCAGAGGGTGTTACTCAACCACGCGGAGGGGAGGCGGCGCGTCCGACATCGAAACTCTGCAGCAGCGAGAGGAGATGGCGCGCAGATGGCTGAGCACGGTCAGTCGCAGAGGGCTCTCCTCTCCCGACTGTCCAGGTGCGTCGACAATCCCTCGGAGCAGACCTTCGCACTTACACTCCCCTTCCTACAAGCGAAGGACGCAGACCCCGGAGTGCGAGGGGTCTGTGACGACCAGGGACCAGAACACTCTAGCCGCAGATGTTAAAACAGCGTGACCTCCGACCGGTCACGGCTGTACCGACGCGCCGGGCCCGGCAGGCTTGCAACATCCGCACCACGTACAGACAGTCTCCCCTCGCTGAATACATTACAGGGCGCCCGGGGGTGCAGAGGTGTAGCAAATGTTACCATATCCAGTTCATTGCGAAAGGCTTTATTGCAGTGTTGCCGCGATGTTGTAGCTTTTCGATGTCTCGATCAATGAAATGTGCCAAGAACGGAGAAGCAGCCGCTGTCGTGACTGAATTCAGGTGCGAATTACCATCTTGGGCATACTCGGTTTCTTAGAACTTGGGAATAATGTGAAACCTTACATACAGCTAGTAGTTATGTAAATGACTGATCATAGGTTAGCTAAATTGACCATCAACAAATATCAGGTTGAATACAAAAGCCCACAATATTTCTTTCAAAGTAGACGCCAATGAAGGGCCATATCAATGAAAGTGCCATATCATGCTCCACGTGTCCACTTTCTAACTCCATTAAAGTCATAGAATTTGAACGTTAAATCCGAGTAGATAGTGAAATACGGTTCCTAGGAACCGTAGGATCCTACATGGGCATGGGCTTAGCCCATAAGGATATTTTTCAAACGGTATTAATCGGTACCCGACTTAAAGATTTCCTGAGTTTCGTCATTCCGTCAAAGACAAGTTATCCCGTCATGTGAAATCACTTGTCCTTGTCGGAGCCCATGCCGATGTAGGAAGCTCTGTCGAAGGCATTGAATATTCATTACGGCATAAATGGACAGAAAAAACGAAGTAGCATATGTCTGAGCAGCCACGACTAAAAAAAGAGCCATTCCAGGCTCATTAATTAAAACGATACATCATTTATGAAGCAGGTAGCCATATTGACAGCTAATTCTTCCGGAAGACTGGAGGGCTGTTATACACACGTTTCAACCTTTACCCTTGAAAAAACTAATGCCAGCGACCATTTGCGTACCAGTCCCAAAACAACACCGAAAATTAAGCAACCAGAATAGTTATCCACGTTGTAAGGGGTCACAATGCAGCAAGCGTGTGGCAACTTTGTGTCCTTTACGGATTGTCCGGCGTGACCACACCATGCATACAGAGGTTGTGACGGAGCCCTGTCTGACTCTGGCAGGGTCACTCTGTTGCAATGGCAGTGCCGGGTCGTATGCACGTGCACAACACATGAATACACTAACACAGTAATCCGCGGCGGGTCAGAATGCCGTGTGCGCCGCCGGGCACGGACCAGACGGCGCTCCTTTACGGAGGTACCGGCACCGCAACAATGCAGCATCCTGTCCCAGCTACGGCGCCCGTAACGGTGAGTTTACATGGGACAATGGTAAAGTTCCGTGGGACAGAGCTCGTATAGTAAACAACTGGGCGGATGTGCTGGTTCGTAAACTGCCAGCAATGAGTGCTACCCTGACCTAAAGCGAACTATGGCATGGACCTTAGCTGGCGTTACGTACTCATATATCGTAAGACATAGACCTATGTGCATCTGTCCTTTACAGAGGCATATGCGTAAAACAGTCAAGAATGTAAATAATTAATGAAATGTACAGTTGTTGGAAATGAATAGGACCTTGGGTTCAGTCGCAAATTATGGTATTCTGTGTCGTATGACCGATGTCGACAGTGTCTCATCCATTTTTTATCAAGCCACCTGCCACGATACATGTCGGGACAGTGGAATAAACCGCTCATTGATTTGGTGCCGTAATACTGCCTTCCAGAGGTGTGATTTACAATTCAATTGGGTACGTTTAGCTCTAAACTTGACTTGAAACCCTACAATTACATTTGTGGTGCTGTGCTACGTTTTAGAGAAGGAAACTACATATTCCGGTTAAAAAAAAAAAAATCGATTCGATAAAATACCTCGGCGAGATTTGTAAAACCCTGAGGCGTTAACCAGGTACTTTACTCCTATATATACAGTTGTGCTCGTTTGCAAATATCAAGCGACGGTAGGATCTTTTCGATAAGCTCTAGACAATGATCCGTCCCCTTCTTAGCCCCATACAAAGGGGCGGACTTTGGAACTGGAATGGGGCAACGGTGCTCACTCCTTGGTAAACACGAATAAGGGCTTCGGTGTTTTTGCAGCTGGGGGGGGGGGGGGCAGAACTTACCCTTTGGCGGACACCAATTTGGGATTTTGTGGGCTCTGCAACTGAGGAAGTGATGAATTCAGGGGATGCGGTACTCACTCTTCAGCGGACACCACCTCGGATTTGTGTGAGTTCTGAGGCTAATGGTAGGGTTAGGATGTGTGTGAGGGGCGGCGGTACTTACTCCTTGGCAGACACCACCTCGGACTTGGGTTCCTCGGTGGTCTCGGCTCCTTCGGCCGGGGTGGCGCCCGGCTCAGACATCTCACGACCGCTGCCGGCGACGGACGGAACGGGGTTAGATACACCAGTCAAAGGGTTGGATACCCTGACAGCCCTGCCGATTAGAGCATCGCGGTACAAGAACATTGATGTCAATATGACTCGGGAGCACAAACACATGTCAGTCAATTTCGTAATTCTAGCCGTTGCCTAGAACCACCATGCCTCCTAACGGTAAAGGCTGGTAGGTAGAATTTGTGCCAGCCCGACCGACTGCTGGTCCGTCAGGTAGGTATAGAGGACAGCACCAGCGCCTGTACTGCCCAGAGCAGGGCCCAAGTCTGTCTACAAAGCCAGCCTGGCGGTCACGGGTCAGCCTGTAATCTACTCACATCTAATCGGTCAGTCCCCGAAGCAGCTTCTGTTATTTCTTTATCACATATCCTGATTCATAATCAGCAGATTTATCCCCATCCCCGTTCCTCTGCTATTTTTTCAGCTGACCAGCCTTCATCCTGAGGTGGCAGCCCAGCCTTTGGTATACTTCCGCATCGACCTGTAATCCCCTAATATCACGTTCTACCGCCTCCCTCAGCTCCCATCCATACCCCTTCCCCCTCCACCACCCCCACAGCCCCTCACCTCTCATCCAGCATCCTGGCGGGCGTGCCATCCCGCGGCGGACTGCCTCCCGGCTCTGGTAGCGGCAGCACGGGCGGCGGCGGCGGCGTCACCGCCAGCGTCATCGGACCGAACACGTCATCCTCCTTCTTCTCGGGCGGCTTCTCCAGCCGCTCGCCCTGCATCAGCGCGTTGATGACGCCCAGGACGTACTTGATGACGGCGGCGGCCGCCCAGCCCGTGTAGTAGACTAGCTGGAAACCGAGGCGGAAGGCTGCCAGCAGGAGCTCGACGGCAGTCATCCGGCGAAGCTCGGCCAGCCGGCGGCGCAGGTTGGCGGGCGCGATGGCGCTCAGGCCGCCCAGAAGCATGTCCTTCAGCTTGCCGAGGTAGGACTTGACCAGGTCCATGCCGCTCCTGGCGACAGGGAGAGGAGGTGGTTTCAGTGTTGTGGAGTCCGAAGCTGATTACAAGCATTATCTGCATAGAAAACCAGCAACCCAGCAAGCCTCGTTCAGCTGTTACAAGATTATGACACGACAACCAAGCGGGAACAAACAAACACGACAACCAAGCGGGAACAAAACAAACGCTAAAAATGAGCCTATAGCAAGTATGAAGAGGTGTGGTACAGAGCATGAACGGGTTCAAATGAAGCTACAATTACTGTAGCGTCATATATCGGGTTCTGGCGCTTCAAAACCTGCACCACTGTCTATCATTCCTCCCTTCACAGCGCCCGCTTATTCATCCTGACCACCCCGAACTCACTTTTCCTCCTCGTCGGCATTGAGGATGTCGAAGGTCTCCTTGCTCTTTCCGCCCGGCTTGGCGTCCTCCTCCTCCCCCATCAGGCTGGTGGCGTGCTGCATCTCAAAGATGGCGTCCTCACAGAAGTTGACGAACAGCTCCAGCTTCTCCTTGTCGCCACCCTCGGTCACCACTTGGTAGAAAAAGTCCCGCTTCGATTGCTGTAAATATGTACACCGCAGACGTCAACGGTGTTTATATTTCGACACAACCAGGGCATGGGCAAAGTCATGGGAAAAAACAGGGGCGGGCTTACTGAGGCGATGGACACGATTCCTATACTTGTTTTGCAATATAACATAGTACTTACAAAAAAAGAAACAAGGTGGTTTCCTGTGTGATACCTACTGCATGCGTAAATTCGTAAGCAAAATGTTAGGTAAAATATCTTCAGCTCAAGAAACGAATGTAGAACGTAAAGATATTCAGCCATTGAGGCGACAGTGGTTGGTAGTAGTTTCTGATGGTTGGGCGAGCGTCATTCTTACCTTGATCTGCGGCTTCTCCCACTGTTCAATGTGCTCCTGTTTGATCTCAAAGTAGACACGCTCGATCTTCTTGTTGCCGCCGAGGATTTCGATACGACCGAGCAGCGGCTCGAAGTAGTTCAGCACCGAGCCGGCAGTCTCCAGGAAACGAGCCAGTCTGACAACAGACAGAAATACGAGCACGGCTGAATGACGAGCGAGCACTGGTGGATAATATCGGCATGAACTCAGCACTATTCTCGTATTTACTTGACATTGATGACCCAATTTTGTATTGCAATATCTCAAACAATACATGCAACTTTTAACACCCGATCGCAATTTTGCTTATTCTGACTCGGGCGTATCGCTTCACAAGTTAAACACTAAAAACTCCATGTCTGGAGTATGTCCGTATTCTACGTGAATCTCCATGCCCTAATCTGGAACATCTTACCGCTGACACATGCCGCTGTTCTCACCTGGGATCGTTGGGCATGTGCTCTGACAGGTTGGTGAGCAGCACGGCCAGGTTGAAGCCGATCTCCTTGGCCGGGTTGTGGAAGCGCTCCGTGAACTCCAGGTAGTCAATCTTGCCGTCGTGGTTCTCGTCGCAACACATGATCAGGAAGTTGATCTCCTGACTGAAATGGTATAGAAAGAGATCGATCGCTGTTACTTTCACTGGCAATCACAAGCGTCCTTCTGTTCCAAACGATAGCAGGACTTATTCAATTATATGTCATTCGAGTGAACTCTTAGCACAAATGACACCAACCATAGACAACTATATATCTAGTGGTCTATGTACCAACGTATGTCTACTTATTTAGCTTGGCTTCTACCGCTGAAATGTGAAATACTCACGAGGTGTAAGCCTTGGTCTGCTCCATCTTGTCCTTGAACTCCTTCGGTGTGATCATGCCGTCGTTGTTCTGATCGATATCCTGCGAAAGTACGGGGGAAGTAGGAACATTAGGCATGCCGATACAGCGAAATATGTGACGACGGAGCTGGTAATAAGCATTGCTTTGCTGTAAGTGCATGAGTTGGTCCGATTTGTCCAAACGTAACCATGGAAATTGTGGCCGTCAGCAACAAATAAGAAATGACCGTCATAGTTCAATGACATTTAGAAAGACATTCAGACAGCTTGATATATACCTGGAAGTTGGTCGATTCGGTCAGATCCTTCAGCTTCAAGAACATGTCGAAGAACTTGAGAATCATCTGGAAACAGAAGACGCATTTGTAAAATGTCATCTTACTCGTCAAGAACGCCTGCTAGACCAACGTGCCTGCAATATATAACGACTCGTCATATGGGCAATCCAACATCAGTAATAACTGTTGAGTACAGCATACTCACTGTCTCCACGTCACTTACCTCGACGTTTGATGCTGACTCCACCAGCGTGTCCACCATCTGTTTACCGATAGTGCCGTTCACCACGTTCCCTGAACAAACAGACAGGGAACGTCACAGTTATGATATTGCATCGTGCGGCAAAACCCAGAGAAGATGCAACTCAATCCCGTGACAGGCAATTGTCATGCAACCCTTCATGGACTTGCTTTTGGATGACTAAAAAAGAAAACGATATGAGGCGTAAAACTAATTTTTCTATCCCGAAAATCGACATGCTTTTGTCGATGAGTATCAGCCTCAGCAAACTAAGATTGTGACTCTCTGCCCCTGATTGGGTCTTCCGCGTGTCTGACCTTCCAGCATGGAAAGCATCATGATGATCATGTCCTGCTGCAGGTTGAGCAGCTCGCGGAGCAGGTCCACCTGACTGGCGTGGCGCGACAGCTTGTCCTGCATGTGGGAGAACAGGAACAGGAAGCCACCGACGGCGTCCCACAGCCTGAACAGCAGCGGTGGGAGCAGTGTCAGATCTCCACACACGTCAGGCGCATACCAGCCATTCGACAAACATCGGAGAACATACGGCCACTGCCCGTCATAAGTGCTTAAATAACAAAGCGTCTATCAGACATTCTAAGCCACAGCCGTCAGGATTCTCTGCCGGTGTGAGGCAGCAACAGCATTGCGAGCCAAGCCAACGGTATGTACATTACAAAAAATACAAACGCCTTATTGCTGGCTCCAAGGGAAAGCTTTTTCCGACAACCAACGTTCTGACGTCGGTCTTTTCATTTAGCGACCAAGAGGACGTTGTGGACCCCTTGGTTTCTTCCGTACCGAAAGCCCCATAGCTGCCCACATTACGCCAGAGAGGCTCGGCACCTGACCTGGAGTGGGCCAGCGCCTGCTGGTTGCCGACACACGGGCCCTGGATGACCTCAGTCAGCGTGTTGAACACCTGACTGGCCACGCCGATCGCCTTGAAGAAGTTGGACTTGCCGGCCTGAAAAGGGTGAACAATACAAATGAATGAAATAGTAAGCGCAAACGGAATAAAACGAGTGATGACTGAAACGTTTGGATCATTCAAAGCCTGACTTCAGGATCGAAAGCGAGTGACGAGACCCCCGGATCGCCCAGAGACTAACTCAATTAAATGTGCAGCCTGTGACAAGGCGCTGACCTGGTCGATGATCTCCTTGGACGAGTAGTGCCAGTAGAAGTCCATGATGGACTCCTGCAGCCTCAGCAGGTAGTCCACCGTGCAGATGACCAGGTTGACAGTGGTGGTGTTACCCGCCTGGGAGCGCAGGTAGTTCTGCCAGTCTGCGGAGTGCGTGGGAAAATACAGCAGTCAGTGAGAGAAAACGGACACAAGTTACAGGCCACGATCGATTTAACACGATTACAATACAGGGCAAATGCACTTTGAAATATTAAAGTTTAGAAGGATCAACCATGGTCACTCATCTCGAGAAAACGTCATATCCATTTTATATCGTTATTCTGAAGACAACATGGTGCATACGTGCGTCTTCCAAGTCTCGTGCAGGAAACTGAGAAGAAAGAATCGACATCCGCACCCCCGCCCCGTGCCGAGAGGTTGTGACATTATCAATCTCCTATCCCCGCTCCGTACCGAGGTTGTGGCCCTCGCAGGTGAGCTGCAGGAACCGGAATACGGCGCACGTGAACACGTCGTCGTGCATGTTCTTCTCTCCAGCGGCGCCCTCTGAGCCGACACCCAGGCCCTCCGCCTTGGTGTTCCGCTCAAACGCATCCAGGTCGAGCACGCTGCCGGCGGGAGGTCACGGCGTTAGGTCAGAGGTCACACTGATAGGTTATGGCATGAGATCATGGTTGGAGGTCATGGGAGGTCATAGACGCAGTGTCAAGGCCGGTCATAATTGAGAACGGTCATAAATGAATATCCTCGCCTGGTGTCAAAGGGGGTAAGGGTGCGATAAACACTGCTTGGGTGCATGACTTGGGACTATGGAATGTCGCAGGTCATATGAATGAACCTAAATATAGAGTACTGATACAACTCGAAACGAAGGTTCGTAGAGAAAATGGACATGTTGAGAATGCATGAAAAACTGAGGACTTCAATGCCGCACAAAACATCGACTCACTGTATCGCGCAAAATAAGGAAAGCTCAGCATCATCGGAGAATATTAGGTAAAACAATAAGCTACCCTCACCAAAATTGCAGCAGTAGTCCACAAAAGCATGATCTGCTAATCCATAGGATTGAAAATATATGTCCAAATAACTAGCGGCTTTGTGGAACAAAATTCGCTACGTGGGGGTTCGGAACACTCCATATTTCTGACTCTGCAGGCGTCTGTACCGAGTTGGAACGGCAAGTTCGCCCGTGGTCATGCTTTGATACGTCCGCGGTGGCGACCGAGGACGATCCAACGGGGATGTCTCACAGCACGCTTATCAAACCTATGCATAAAAACATCGTAACTGTCGTTCTTATTTATTACAATTATTATAAAGACTTATGTAAGCATTACCCTGCCGCTTGCTTCAGTTGTGTTACGCAGGCAAGGCGCTCGACAAAACCAAAGAAAGCTCTTTTTGTTCTGCTCTTAGAAATGATTACGAGCGAGCGAGCGCAGCGAGCGAAGCGAGTCTTTTCAATATAACGGAAAAATCTCAGTATGAGCGGCCCGGCCCGGCCCGGCCTGTAACGCTTTTGAGAGGCTTATATCTCAGCAACCGCTGGACCGATTGGCCTGCGGTCTTTTTTGCTGGGTAGCCCCATCCCTTCTACCCCGTAATTGACTACTTTTGATACATCTCAGTGACCGTCGTGGCACGTGCCACGTGAAAAGTCAAGGGTGTTCAAGCTGTTTTACAAAAGTAGTGATTTTGAGAGGCTCATATCTCAGCAGCCGCTTGGGCGATTGACTTGCGGTAATTTTTATAGGGTAGCTGCATCCTTTCTACCAAAAATAGGATACTCGCCATGCATGTGGGCCACCCTGAGTGCACGTGCAAAATACAACAATAAGAGGTGTCAAATTTGTTCCCATTTTAATAACTCGGTAATTACTGGGGCGATTTCGCTGAAACTTGGCATACAGGTAGGCACCCACCAGGCAATGCATTCCCATGTGTTGCGGTTAAGGTGCTACTGCACGTGCGCACGTGCAGGGGACGCTTCCAGATCTCGAGAACGGCTGGGCCGATTGCGCTTAAATTTGGTACACGGTTGGAGACCGGTTAGTAGGGTGCCGTGCAAAAGTCAGTTTGGACCCCGTTTGCACGTGCGCACGTGCAGAATGCCGCTTCCAGATCTCAGGAACGGCTGGGCCGATTGCGTTCAAATTTGGTACACCGCTAGCGACCGGTTAGAAGGGTGCTTTGCGCAAGCCCGTTGGAAGTACCCTCTCGCCCTTCCGCACGTGCAGGGCTCACTATCTCGCTCGCTCGTTCTTCGCCCAAAAGGCGTTTTACTGGTTATATTATTCATTTTTAAGCAAATGTTTGGGCGTAACGAGCAAATAAATAAGCAAAACATGTTTAACGTAAAAATAAGCTTGAGTTACAAGCAAAACGGTCAGCAAATGTACGTATGTTTTTTATCTTAATTCAAACAGAGCAGCGCAGCCTGTACATACATTTATGTATATCAACCACTACAGGTCCATCGTTGCTCTCTTATTAAATGGGGTAAACCGTGTGTTCTAGCTAGAGGAAGCAGAGAGGCATGCCTTTATAGGCGGTGCTTATGGGTGTGTATGTATGTTTTCAAATGTGCAATACAACTTCGAAGATTCAGCTAACCCTCTGAGTTTGTTTGCACGCTCAAGAGCATCCAGATCCAAAACGCTGCAGAAACAGAATAAAATGTTATCCGGATATCGTTCTATTGCGGTACCTACGCATTCTATAAACTCTAAACGTTTCTCTTAGTGGGCATACTCGTATTATGATTCCATGATCGTTAAGAAGGGTAAATGTTAGAGTAAAATTATGGGACATAATTAGTTCGGGAAACCCGCGGCGGATTACATTCAAAACGACAAGACTCAGTGAAACACACCAAAAATATTAACTAAATAATATATTTATACAGACCGGACATGGGCAACACCACGCATTGCTACGGCAATCGCTAAATTTGTTATAAGATACTAATTAAGTTGTTTGCCTATCGTATTAAAAAGGATGGACAGAAAAGAAGAGAAGAAACTATACTCTAAGCAGACGCGGTTTAGGAGCACGGAGGGTGACAATCAGCTCATACCTGCAGGATGACATCAGACCAGAGATGGACACGAAGAACGACGAGTCCTTCTTTTCCTTCAGGTAGTTCAGCATGGCCTGCCGGGAAGGGCATAGTTTAGAGGTAATATGGGGAGAAACTGCAGCCATTGTTTGACAAGGTACGGATTTTTAAGACCACGTCAAATACCAGTTTTGTGAGCGACCATCGCCCAGGGTCAGGTCTGCTCTCAGTGTCAATCCCTTGTTAGGTCACTACCATAACCGGTACCGGGTAGATCACCATCTCGGTCATGTCACCCCTCACGGTCCGGCCCAGATCAGGCCACCACCCCTCGGTCAGCCCATACGCACCATCTGCACATCCACGTTTCCTCCGCGTAGAATGGAGATGCCCAGGTCCAGCGACTTCATGGTCATCTCGCTGGGCTGGCCCTTGCTGGCGGAGATATTGAGGAGCACCATCTCGGCCACTCCGCGGCTGGACAGCCGGTCCTGACAGAACAGCAGCTTCTGCTTCTCGATCTCCTGCTCCTGTGGTGGCGACAGGGTGGGGCACGGCGTCACAGGGTGCAATTTGGGACTTACATAAGTCCTAGTTACGAGTTTACAGAAAGCACATAGTATACGATCTGTCCAGTATGCGATGTGATGCTATGAACACTGATCAGGCCTGTAGAACCGACATACTGTCATTATGGAACCGTCCTTTCCTAATATTCACTATATTTTGCCGCGTACTGGTTCCCAGCTCGTCGTCCTTTACCACCGGCACCCGATGGAGGACCGGCGTCCCGCCGACTCACGTTCATGGCGTCAGCAGTGTCGCCTTCGTCCCCAGCTCCCTCCTCTCCCTCCTCCTCGTCTCCCCCTTCTTCCTCTTCCTCGCCGCAGGACCTGAGGACAGTGACAGAGGTGGGCAGACCGGTCAGCGGCCGCGACGAACGGAGACGCAGCGCAGGGAAGAGCGAGGAAGAGATGACAAATGTCGGCGACGTACGGTATAGTTAGATCGGCTGTTAACACAACTGCTCACAGTCTACGGAGGAAATAGCTTATTATTTTAAAATATCAAAGAGCGTGGTTTTAACCGGAGAATAAGTGAAGTAAAATAGCAGACTATGATGAAGCGAGAGCTACGATAAATGAGACATCCAAGGCTCGAGTCTTGACCGTCACTTATCTAAGTTAACCACAATTCACACATTCCTACGTGAAGTCTCCACCCTGTATCACCCCTCCCTCCCTCCAGTGGTGTCGCCCCAGTGCCCTCACTTGGCCATGATGACGGCGTAGTCCATGTAGAGTGCGTCCTCGCACTGAGGCCCCTGCTCCATCTGCGCCTGGCGCGAGAACATGGTGACCAGCTGGGTGACCGGGTCGGGAGCCTCCTCCTCGTCCTCTTCTTTGGTGGTCTTCTTATTACGCTCGCTGTCCTCGAACGATTGCTGGAACGGTGGGGAGACGGTAAATATTGCGCACATACGCTGCTGAATACCGTGAACGTCTTCTTGTTACGCTCGCTGTCTTCGAACGATTGCTGGGAACGGTGGGGAGACGGTAAATATTGCGCACATACGCTGCTGAATACCTAACGTGAACGTCTTCTTGTTACGCTCGCTGTCCTCAAACGATTGCTGCGGTAAAACGGAGAGACAGTGAGTGATACGGCTAGGAAACCGCGAAGGTCTTCATGTTACGCTCGCTGTGCTTGAACGACTGCTGCAGAAAAAAATGACATAAGGACACAGTAATTATTTAATGGATACCGCTAGAAACCACGAACATCTACTCTCAATGTCGTCACCATTCAGTTGATGAGCTAACTTTTCACTGAAGGCTAGCAAATACACTGCTGTTGGGATTACGATACGGTCGGATACAAAGCGATTCAGGTACGTCGAGCTATGCTGAGCTCGACCTCATCCAACCTGCGACTGGTCATTGATCAGTCCGTCCGACAGTAAAACAAAGGGCCGGTAGCGGTCGTCTCTTACCGTGAGATCCTCGATGAGCACCTCCTGACCCGAGTTCTCGTCTGAGAGCCACACGTTGCTGTAGGTCTGCAGGAACAGGTTCACGGCACGGTGCCTGTCGCCGGCAAACGGAGGGCGTCAGTTGGTGGCGGCAGTGATGGGTTGAAACAGCAAGAGGCTGAGCGAACTGATTTATAAGCCAACTACAGGTTTATGCTGGAAATCTATGAGTGGGTTCACACCGTTTACTGGATGCAATATTTATCAGAAATCAGCTAAATTTAAATAAAAATCAACTGATCGATTCATTCCATATGATGTAGAGCTAAAGTTTGACAGAAAAGCGTATCGCCAAACTTATATTATTGCACAATCAAATGGTATTGATGTGAAGAGCACTCGACCGTAATTCACCACTCTGACTGCATTCCATATCGGCTCTCTCGGTACCTAGCCACATTGTACATCGGCGTGCTGCGCAAACACTTGAGGACGGCCATCTTGCGCGGCGTGCTCATCATTTTCTTCCACTCTGTCTGTTTGCCGGACGCCTTGGTGAAGGCCTATAACAGGGCCGAGAAAGAGTCGGGGCGGGTGTAGTGGGGAGGGCGGGGTCAGCTAGGGCGGGTGTCACTCTCGTAATGTGCTAGGTCAGGCAGGAAGGGAGGGGAGGGTGTCTGTGGAGGTGGTGAGGGTGGGTGATTGGTGACTCAGACTAGGGATGGAGGTGAAATAAAAGTTTGAATTTGGGCAGTCTGCGGGTAGGTGAACATAAATGATGATCAGGTTTTGATGGTAACGCTATTTTATTTTCAGCTAAGGACAACAAAACAGGCATAACAAAATAAAAGGGGATGCAGGACAGAAAGCATGCATACAACATCAGCATAGTTGAATGAAGGCGACACACGAAATGAAGCCACCGAAGGTGTTAAGAGTTTCGGAACAGGCCGCCATGCAAAAAGTTATCGTTAAAACTTGGTTAGTATGAACGCAAATCCCTTTCGTTACGCTTCGCAACGATATTTTGTGATCAGTGGGACCGGCAATTTATGTGTCCGAGGGAGCGGTAGCGGCATCGGCAGCAGTAACAGATGTTGTCTAGGTCATGGTAGCAGACTCGGGACCTGTTCGATCCCTCTGTGGACCTAGGAAATCTACCCAGCGGGGTGGGTGAGCGCGCTCCTCTATTTCTATCTCTATCCAATGGAGGCCAGAGCTCGGCTCTGCACCCAGCCGCGTCGCCGCGCCCCTGACCTGGTCATCTGATGCAGCGACGCCTGTCGGAAGCACTGAATGACGGCACGCTTTCGCTGCACGCTGAGCACGGATCGGAGCACCTGCTGTCGGCTCAGCTGAGGATGGTCAATCTGCGGGCGACACAGCGCGCGTGGATCGCGTCAGCCGCGTGCTACCGGCTCGGACCAGAACGGATAGCCCCTGTGCCGGCTCGGACCCGTGCAGCGGCGGCCCCCGAAACGGCGGATCCTTTACACACAGATGGACGGACGACGGACAGACTGGAGAGTGGCCGCGGGCGGATGGTCATAGCGAGGTGATCAGGACGGCGCGGGCCATCGTTCTTTAGAGCAGGAACATCGGGAGAGTACGGACCGACGTGTTTTAGCTTGGGAGCGTATGCGTACACCGTCGTGATTTAGAGTTAGGACACACAGCCGGAACACAACCGCCACGCTCCACGAGAAATGGCCACAGTTTACTTGTATGCCGCCGATCATTCGACCAGGACACTATAAGCATGTCACATTTCTAGCATCTTGATTCGATATCTCTCAAAAGGGCCGACTATAGAATCAAAGATATTGAGATGATTAAGAAATTTAACAAATTGATTAAAGCAAAAAACATTAAAAACCTGAATCTACCATAAAGAACGGCCGAAAACGCGCAAAAAAAATACACCGCGCAAATACTTCACACACTTACGTCTCATTTGTTTACGCAAATAAATAAGCCTGGGAAAAATGTTGACCACAATTTCACTGACAAATTGCGGTTTCAGCTAAAGCTATTTCACGAATGATTATTGATTCTGCAACTATCGTTTCGTTTTTATAAATCATATCACTCTAAAATGTTGGAGCGTAACACTTCTATCATAGGTCGTGGATCGAAATGTGTCCCACGACCGCCTCTGAAGCTTTGCCACGCGAAAGCTGTAAGCCACACGTTCAACAGCGGCAGCGGCAGGCAGAGAGAAAGTGAGTCTCTGAACAGACAGAGCAGCTGAGACCGACAGGCCAGGCGCACACTGTTTCTGTGCTGGCAGAAACCAAGTATGGCATCAAATTATAATGAGACTCGGGTTGGATTGAGTTATGGGCCGGCATAAGTGCCGAATGAGGCACACGACAACACAGAACGAACACGGAAGCCGACGTCAGTCCTCGGCATACACGATGATGTGTGATTAGTTATAAAAAAAATCGAGCCCCAGCTACGCACAAACATAAACAGACACAAAGACGTCAGGAGAAGCCACCCCACTGGCTGGCACACAGCTGCGACACGTGAACCGAGTGATAGAATAGAGAACAGAGACACAGCTGTGACCTCGTATGCGCTGTGTGGTTCTGTTAGCGCAGTGTTGTCCATTTTCAAAATGTGAAAGACTTTACAGGCGAGGATTAAAAGGCTTAAGATTGGAAGGATGAGGAAATGACATCCTGCGTGGCAGGAAACTGGGTGACATGGAGAAAGGAACAAGTGAATGCTAGACTAGAAAATGCATGTTTCAGCAAGAATTGATCTGTGTCGGTACTATTAAATCGTATCAACATGGACTAGAATATGAAAAAACAGCAATAAAATAGCATCATTAAAGCGTATTACAATAAGAATATTAATCTAAGTATGTAGATGTGCGATAAAGCAATAGCAGTACCTAAACATATACATTATACAGCACTATAATATAGATGATAATATCTATATCTATAATCTAGATGATAATCTATAATCTAGATGATAATCTATAATCTATAGATCTATAATCTATTATAATCTAGATGTGGCTGCTATAAACTCACAAAATTAACCGAGACAATTTCAAATTAAAAAGGTTACGGTTCTGTCATTTATACGGCAGCCAGCACTGCCCGCATTGGACAAACGACTGGGCCAACACGTGAATCAGCACGTCCGTATGTACATACGTCTGACAGACCTAAAAACGTACAGCTTTGTAGCGACTAGCGCACGGGCAGAGCTGCGGATGTATAACGGACGTAGAGAGCTCCATACAAACATCTGACGGGCGTACAGAACTCCGTACGAGCGTCTGATTACATACTGAAGTCCGCACGGACGGACGTGCTGGGACGTACCATGTGCAGTCCGTAGAGAACCTTGGCCATGTCAACGATACGCTGCACGATATCCTGTACGGTGGGCGCCTTCTCCGAGATGGTCTTATCCGACTCGGTGATGGCCTTTCGAGCGCCGCCGCCAAGCTTACTGCGGGGAAGAGAAAGACAGGGTCAGTTTACAATCGTCTGTAGAGCCTTAAAGATGCCAAAGTTCGGACCTTCCCGTAAGATTCTCAGCAAAGTAATTGACATACAAAGAGCAGATCATTTGGTACCAGACGTTTGACGTTTCGTCAAATGATGGTAGCTCGTGGTTCACCCTGATCTCCCAACATCTCACCTGTAGAGATGATGCTGCCAGGACTTAGAGTCGGTCGGGTCGAGTCTGTCCGGCATGGTCAGCTCCGCCTTGGTCGTTTCAATGATCTCGTATTCGGCGATACCCTGTAACAGACGAGTTACACGGTTGTCAGTCGAACAGAATATGCCTTACTGTACTCCCTCTGCAACTCTAGCTCTACTGATGTGGGAAGAGGTCGTAGCCTTAGCAGGTCCCTTCTGAATGAGCAGGTAGGTAGTGCGCTGAGTAACAACCCCCTAGCAAAACCAACATTAGTAAAGACTGTGCCGTAGTTACGTGACACCTCGTCTCAACACATACTTGTAATGCATTATCGATTACAAGTAATTTCCACCGCATATATCTAGCGTCCCTTACCTTGAGGTAGCGGTCCTTGGCGTGCTGCACCATCTCCTGTTCACGGCCGGCGAACAGGTTCAGTCCCACCGGCAGCAGGCGCTTCAGACAGGCCACCATCAGACTCGACGCCACGTCCTTGTCCTTGCTCTTCTTCTTGTCACCGCGCTTCTTCTTTTTCTGTGGACACGGGTGAGGGAAAGCGCATTAACTCTCTTTTAGAGCTGGTTTGAAATGAGAGTAATTAGCAAAAGAGCTTGAGCTGAAGAAAATTAACGAAACAATTACCTCTCAAAAGGGCTCAAGTAGTGTAGACAGTACAAATATCGAAACGGCTGACATTCTAATCTAAGTACTTTTACGTCGCCCACAAAGACAACAATAGATAACACGAAACGGATACCTACCACTGTCCGCCGTTTATTTTATCTCTTACACAAACTGTGACTAGAGTCATGCCCTGAATACTACGTTCGTCCGTACCTTGCCGCGGCCGGCCGACGGCTCCGAGACGGCTGCCGTGGTGCGGCGCGCCGTCGTCGTCGGACGGATCAGCGTCATGTTGTCGATCTCGTTCTGGGAGATAAAGTTGGTCTCCTCGCGGGTGAAGTACTGAAAGAGCGACAAACAGCGTCAAAGAGGTGGTGGCTACATAGCAGTAAGTACAAAACTCGAACCTCACGAGTCATTGCCTTATGAAAAACTAAGAGCTATTCACGAGAGTGAGCGAGAGTAAAAATTCCTCACCTGCGACTTTGACCAGATCTCGAAGATGACGGCCACGTGGTTGTAGAGGTCCTCGGCCTCTGGCACGCAGTCCTTGAGCCAGTGGGAGCGCTGCAGGTCCACGTACTTAATGAGCAGCGGGTAGAAGGCGTAGATGTCTCTGACAAGCAGGTACCACATCTCCTGCAGCTGGCCCTCCACCTGAGACGTGTCCTCGGTGGTGCTCTTCAGGAAGCCGCGCAGGTTCTCCTCCTTGTGGTACATGGCCTCCGTCCGACGGCGAACCTGTCCAAGATACGTATACACTGTCAGATTTTGTATTGGGTCCGGCTTCTCTGTTCGGCGGCGAGTCTGTTACAGTATACATTGTCGGATACTGCACTGGGTCATCCTCTGTCATTGCACTGTATCTTCACTTGACCTCGTGGAAATAAAGTGATTTTTAAAACACTGAACAGCTGTGACAACATATAGATAGCAACGCCGTTTCATATTATCTCCTCCGGTCTCGAGTAACCCTGCTCCGAACCAAAACGGCTCATTGGTTCATTTTCAGCATTATGAAAAAATATGTCATGTAGCTTATCTCAATTTTTGTCTCACCTTGTTTCACTTCATCCTCTCCGCAGACTGGGACTACCTCACCTTTTCAGCGAGCGGCAGGTACGGGTCGTAGAGCAGGTCCGGTGAGCAGCTGACGATAATCTGCTGCGCGTAGCCGGCGATACGCGTCATCCACGGCGCCTCGGCGCTGCCGATGTTGGACTTGATGAGGTGCAGGATGTTCTTCAGCAGCTGGTTCATGTGGCCGTCCGTGACGCGGGTCGTGCTCTGGGTTCTGGACGTGGACCGGGGTAGGGCGTCATTCAGCAGCTACTGGTGCGCAAAGCAGTTATCCTGCAGTTACTGCTATTGATAGCACCCAAGTGCCTGCCCATTTATCACTTATCTTGTTGTCCGCCCTGCCCGGTAGGCACTACTCACTAAGCGCACGCAGTATCTGCCACTCATTTCACTCACCGACTTTGCCAGGCCCTGGTTCCCGGTACCCAGTATCCAGTACTCACTCTCCCTCGCCCGCGTTGTCCAGTCCATCTCCCGGCTCCCAGTATCCGGTACTCGCTCTCCCTCGCTGGCGTTATCCGGTCCCGGCCCCCCGGATTCCCAGTACCCAGTACCTTGTACCCAGTACCCATTACCCAGAGCCCGGTACTCACTCTCCCTCGCCGGCGTTATCCAGTACTCCCAGGTTCCCAGTACCCAGTACCCAGTACCCGGTACTCACTCTCCCTCGCCGGCGTTGTCCAGTACCCCCAGGTTCCCAGTGCCCAGTGACCGGTACTCACTCTCCCTCGCCGGCGTTGTCCGGTCCCTGCGACCACCAGAACGGCAGATACGCGCACAGCATGGGCAGCAGCGAGTCGACGATGTGGCGCGCCTCGTCGTACTTGCCGCCGCTCTCGGCAAACTTTTCCACCATCTTCAGGATCTCCTCCAGGGTCGGCACGGCCGCCTCCAGGCGGGCCATCACCTCTGTAACGGGGGAAGGGCAGAACAGGTCAGACGGGCCATTACATTTGAAAGTGGACCGGGGCAACACAGGTCAAGCAGGCTGTCACTTCTGTAAGAGGGAGCAGGACAGTCACTGGTTTTGAGTAAAACCTATCGTCTCATTTCTCTCATTGGCATTTCGCGTATCAAATCGAATAGAAGAAAATCGAATCGAAGAAAACATCAAATTTTCGTAAATCCATTTGAGGCGTGTCCCATTTGCAATAATCTCTGCTGCACCGTTCGCGCATTAGCACTCCTCCCAGCCAGCTGAGCTCCCATCGTCCCTCCTCCCATGACCTGGCGACCTTACCCTGTGCCTCGAGGGACCTCTCTTGCAGCCGTCCGTGGATCGAGTACTGGTTGTATTTGTTCAGATCGGGTTCCAGGAAGGCCACGGGGAAGCAGGCGGCGAACGCGCCCAGGCAGGTTCCCAGCGAGGGGCGGTGGCGGTCCAGCTCCGCCTTGATGAACTTCCTGTACACACAGGGAGACCAGCGGTGACACTTTATATACTTTGACAAGACACTTACAGGAAAAATAAAAAAAGTCACTGACAGTATTGCAAACAGGATACGGTGACTTTCTAGGCCCAAAAAGGACAGTCTTTTGCAGCAGTCACTGCTGCAAAGAATGGTAACAGTACGATTACTTCCGGTGCCTGACATGAACTTCGTGCTGAACACCGACTCCAGATTACACGTCAGCCTTCCATCATGTTCGGCGGCGCGTGACATTACGCCGAGCACTGTGTGCCTACTGATTCATAGGTCAGTGTCGGGTATCTACTGACCTCTGGTTGGAAAGATTCGGGTCTGTTCCCAGCTGGTAAAGGCCATGGAACAGCTTGTAGCAGGCTACCTGGATCTCATCCACTGAAAAACGGCACGGCGCAAATCAGCGGAATTATACAAACCACACATAAGGCGATCGCACCTACTTTACAATAAGGGAACATTGAGAGCCAAACTACTTTCAAAACTATGATTGAACTCTAGTCCAGCTAGCACCAACGTCGAAGAGAGAAGAGTCGCACCACTCTACTCACGGAGCAGGTCAGTTCCGTACTCGCAGACGACCAGGTGGTCGAAGAAGGCGGTCAGCACCGGGAACAGCACCAGCTGAACGTAGTTGAGACACGACGACGTCTTCAGGTGCGTGCCGCGGATGTAGCTGTATTTCTCCTGAGAGCCGGGGGAGCCAAGGGCGCGGGCATGGGTCAGTGGCAGGGCGACACGGAACGGTTGGGCAGAAATGTCGGAAAACGTAAGCTTGGCAAACTAGAAGCGAATTAGCGAACACATCATAAGTAATGCAATGCCTCCTAAATAACAATGATGCAGCCTCAAACTTTGGGCTCGTTTTCTGTGTGAAGGTTGCAGATGACAAGAAAATAGCAAAACTTGCTCGTCAGAGGCCGGTGTAGGTACTTGCACCAGGCAAGTACACCGGCCTCTGAAAACTCATTTCATAAAGTTCCATCGAAAATCACAATTTGATTTAGCTTATGAATACGCACAAAATCGTCATTCAAGTAGGTGGCATAAAAATAAAATAAAGCTATGCACTGAAAATTGAATTACTTCCGGTACGTGTGTACAGATTAAAATGATTAAAAACGATGAAAATTGCAAAAGCTACTAATAGCAATCAATAGCCCAATAAAGCTGACCTGGGATTGCAGGGCACGGTGAATTGTTAAACGCAGCTTTGCACTCAGAGATAATGACACAATGTAAGTGATGAGTGTTAATGGAAAGCTAATGAATGGTGCGGTTAAAAATAGGTATGTTTAGTGTCGACTGTCAACACACATGCTTGTGCACATAGTGCAATCACTAGATAGTAATACAGGTCACATCGCCCTACTCAACGGGATGTGTGGGTTTGATTTGGTCTTTCAGGGTGCAAAATGAGCGTCAAACCAGCTAACTCCACCGAATGCCCAAGGAAAGGGAAAACTCAACACCAATCCAAACTGGGGCCAGGCCGACGGCCGGGTGGGGGTGGGGGGTGGGGAGGGAGCTGGTAGATACCGGCGCGGGGCGGAACGGGGCGCCGCCGCCACCGGCTCCAACACTACCTGTATGACTCCGCCTCGTTCCCTAACGTTTATGTTGAGCAGTCCCCACTTCACCAGACACTGGGTGCGACCAACCAAACACAGGATTATGGTTTGACCGATCAGACAAGGGCTAGTTTAGTCGCGGAGGCCAGGGGACCCGTTTATGGGCCAGCTAAGCAACGCCGGCAAATCGGGTAACCGATGCCGATTTGTGTGCCGTGCCCGGCGTTTTGAGAGGCTGAGTCGACGGGGTTTTAACGGGGGTATTTATTTTCTAAATGCTCTTAAACATTTATTTAGATGCATGTCCCTTCAAGCTCTGTAGAGAATCCCGGAAAAAGTGCGTTTTGACATCCCGGAGCAGTGGAGAGTTCTCAAGTTTCCAAAATGCTACAGAACGCGGGTTTAAATCGTTGGAAAGGTAAAAAAGGTTCTCATAAAAAAGTGAAACAGCATAGCTCAGCTGCGTATAGACAAGTGAGCGATAGTTTATGTACAAGAGTTAGAGAGCATTGAACCACCACAGCAGCAAGCTGTCAATCTGTTCAAAAGCAATACCGTCGTTTTTGGTAAGAATCCAGCCACCTAAAAATACCGAATGATATTAATGGACGTCATCACAGGCACTAAATCAGCTACAGTTACAGGGTGATTATTCATTTAACAAAATCGCGCTAAGTGCTCCACATTCCGCAATCGGATGAAGTATGCCATTTTATAGTAGAACAATCTAAGAAAGATCTCCAAGCAAAGGCAGATGCAAGTCACCACACTCTCCGCTGAACTCTATAAGAAAAAGTTGGAGCACTATGTCGGCAGGACCCTCTCACAGAGCAATTCGACCACTAACAGGCGGCCGGTCCTAGCGGTGTTTGAGGTTTGTATGAGGTCACGGTACTGAAAGAGGGCATAGGGCGGTGGCCGAATGGTATCGAGGACTGGTGACCCGGAAGCTATCAGACCAGGTCACTCCGGGCAGGTAGCAACGGAAAGAAATCGGAACGGGTAGAAATGAGTGGCCATAGAGCAAGGGAAATAAGGTTAAAATCGAGGACCATAAATAAGGCGCAGATCAGAGAAGGGTAGGGTCGTTGAGGGAGGCAGGGACGGGCAGGAAGGGAGAGAAAATAAAATCGGCGCACGCCGCACCTACCTCCTGAAGATGCTGCACCGTGGTGCCCACATCTTCCGCAGCGTGGTTGAAGAAGGTCAGCATCGAGGTGCGGACAAACTCGGGACACTGTTTGGCCAGCGACCTGCAGGGAAGGACACAAAAGTCAGCGATAAGTATAGTACCGTGTGAGACTTGCGAAGGTCATACATGCGAGGTGACTGTATCATGAATGAAACGCCAAGAACGCAGCTAGTGTCGGATGTGTATTATAACTAGCGCCGTGTTATGTTCCCTTCACAGGTCATTAACTTGTTGCCAAATAAAGTGATGGTGAATTAAGGTTGCTTTTAATCATGATACAGGCCACGCACGCGCGCGGTGCCTCAGGCGCTCGCAAGAAGTTCGATTTGGGAATGGACACCTGTACAACTGACAACTGTGCATAGTCTTATCCAATCGTTCTTGCAATCTTTAATTGGCTAGAAAGATAATTGTCAATGAACACCGAAAAAACATCGATTAAAATTGATCCGAAGGCAAAGCGTGCATCGTTATAGCCACCCATCAGCGAACATCAATGAACGAGGGGACGGCTGCACGAGGTATCGACGGAGCGATCACTGACCTGGCGTCGACGGCTCGCACCAGCACGGTCAGACATCGGACGGCCAGTCTGGTGTCGCTGCTGAACGACGACATCTTCATCCTCAGCAGGTGGGCCAGCTTGCAGAACACGCTGTCGAAGAGATTGAGGCCAGTGGTAAGCGATCAGCAGCAGAGCATCAAGCGGTTTTGATTTGGCTGGGCCAACTGAGAGGCATGATCTAGCCCAAGGAATTTAGAGGAGGTAAGATATCAAACTAGCTGAGCCTCCAACAGACTAAAATAGAAATCGGAAACAGAAACGTGACTATACGGGTCGGAAACTGACAGGTTGCGTAACCCACGATCCAGCAGAGTTTGAAGATTTTACAAGAGGTTAAGCCTCGTAATGTTGCAGTCTCAGATGCGCTATACGTCCTTCGCGACTCACTTGGCGACCATCTCCTTCTCCTTGAGACTGGCCGCTCCGACCATATTAGTGACGGTGGGCACGGCGATGAAGTAGCTCCTGTTGGTGCTGAAGTACTTCTCCATCAGTGGCAGTACCACCTGTGAGGAGCGGAGGGGGCAGCAGTCAGGTACACGCCTGCAGGTGTCAGACACTGAGTAGGCCACTGCCTAGACTTGTCTCTATACAAAAATGATGACCAAAGGCTGCTTACAGCGTTAAAATATCCGGCCACAGCGTGAGATCAGCAAACACGCCTCCATCGTGAAAAGTCTGACTACTTATACACAAGCCTCATTGCCATGGGATTGGCCCACGACAGACATTATTCGTCGGATGTAAAACCTGTGCCCATTATCCATCAAACCAGTCAGACGCACCTTGAAGAAGAACTTGACGTCCCTGGACGGCCGTTTGAAGCTGACGCGATGGCCGAGGTTCTGACTGGGCACCAGCACCTTCATGTTGAGCGCCGCGCTGCCCAGGTACTGCTGCAGCTTCTCCAGCAGGCTGTAGGCGAAGCGGCGCTCGGTGGCGGCCGCGGCGGCCTTCTCCTGGCTCTCGCTGTCCGAGCGGGAGGTGCGGGCTCTGCGGCGGACGGGGGGACGTCAGTGGGCAGTGGGGGACAGGCGGGTAATCAGAACCGACTAACAGACGCAAGATGTCGACATTGGTGATGCAAGAGGTCGCAACCGAATGTTAGATAACGTCATTAGATGCAACAGGCACGCTAGAAGCTTTTACTGGATTTTTCTTATATCGGTGACGGACGTTAGAAAGGGTTATTACTTTTAGAGGTCGGCATCTGACGCCAAAAGTCGGCACCACATGCTATAGATCGCTAATGGGCGCTCAAAAGTGACAGAACATCCTAGCCAGGCGGGCGTTTCGAACACGAACAAGATATCTTGAGAGTCCCAGCGTCCGACTGCGCGGACGACAAGAGCAGTCATGCCAAAGTTGTTATGCCCCCGACTGACCTGGCCAGCTTGTAGCCCTGGAACTGGAGGTACTTGAGCAGTTCCTGACATCGCTCTCGGTCCTTGCGCTTCTCCTTGTCAGTGAGCAGGTCGTAGGGCACCATCTGAGGGTGGGCGCTGGCGCCCGCTGAAAACGAAATGGAAACTTGCATAAGCACTGAAAACATACGAGTACAGCATAGCTGATGCAATCCAATGATATGCAGTTACTGAAAGGCAGCTGTTCGCACATCAGTTCATATCAAAATCCACCGACGATACTTTGCCACCGTCTTATCCATTAACAAGATGTCAGGATATCATCGAGCCGACTTCATTCATTACCAATAATCAGAGGCTACAGCATACGACGGAAAATTTGAAGGTCCTTGAACGGTGCAAAAACGACTGTACTACAGAGCAAGCGATCGCTAGGTAGAAAATATGAGAGTGGACCCACCGGACGCCTCCAGTTCATGTTTGGTCTTTTTGGCCCAGATGTCGTGGGCGTTCTCGGCGAGTCGTTCGGCCATGTTCTGCATCTCTCTGCTCAGTGTCAGGTTGGTCATGTCCACCGGCTGGGGGTTGTAGTTGGCGGGACCGCCGCCGCTGCTCGAGTCCGCTATCGGTGGCTGGAAGATGGAAAACGAGAGCGTCAGATGGGAGACGGGAGACGGGAGACGAGCGTCAGGTGAGAGACGGGGAGACGAGCGCTAGACGACAGTGGAAACCGGCATCGCGTTGCAGACAGCACATGGATTATATTCCAGTTCAGTGTAGACCAGTTTCATGCAGCAATTAGTTGTTTCCGCTAGAACAATCCGTCATATATGATTAACTGACGATTAGCATGACGAATTCGTCCACTAGAAAATGTCATTATTGACGTGCAATTTCACCAATAAGTAATTCACATTCGGGTCAATATTTGATTCGCTGATAAGCTCTAGCCTTGACTGATGGTTGGTTTCGAACTGCGCCACGTTTCTTACCACATCCTGTCGCGACGAGCTGCGTCGGATGGATCCCTTGGGACTGAGAGTGTCGGCTTCTCCGTACTCGACGGTCCAGCCGAGGGCGAGCAGGGCGGTGAGCGCCTGGCGTACCGGCTCTCGGTACCGCTCCCGCTCCTGAGGAATGCACACACGGCATGTCAGGGCTTGGCGACAAGTAGGTCACGGCACGGTGTACGGGGAGGAGGTCAACTAACAAGGTACCAGAGAGCAGGTCAGTTTCTGAGGTACATGCATAGCTGTAGGTTCACGGTTTACGAAACCATATACCTACCCACCCTTTCCCAGATACAAGCCACCGAAGAAAGAGATGCATAACAGTCCGCATTGTTTCCTTCCACGAATTCATCCTTGGATAACTATGCTAAGCTTACATATTCGGAGAGCATATAGGGTGGCTTCAGGCGGGGGTGCGTCCGCTCCTCCCTGTTGTACTCCTCGCCGTAGAACCAGCCGTTCTCCAGCTTCCGCGAGGCCCAGGCGTCGTGGTAGTGGTCGCTGAACTTCTGGATCACGTCCACCATCTCCTTGGTCAGCGCCACGCTAAGGGTAGCGCAAAAATTCCGTCATGATCGGTGCGAGTGGAGACAAACTGAGACCGTGGATGCTCTTAGGCGACGACGGTGAGCCGAGGCCTTTAGTAATCACGACGCAAAATCGAAAGACCCATTGAAAGAGTAATCAGAGGCGTGCAGAATGTCGGATATCTTGTACTCAATACGTTGTATACACTGCACAAACATGTAAAAACGTTTAGCTACAAAAAAGGCCTCGGCTCACCGTCACCAGCAAATGAATACGCCTTCCTTCAAAAGTTATGCAATATTTTCCTCCACTGGACTTTTTCGGTCCAGTAAAGAGCAATAAATACTTAGCCTTTGACCCACCTGCTGGTGTCTATATGCTGTGGACGGAGACGGACCTCCCATCCCCTCTCAGCGACTATAAGCAGCCCTAAATCCAGCAACCCACCTGCTGGTGTCGATGGGCTGCGGGATGTACTTGGCATCTGTTCGTGTGCTCTGTCGGAACAGCTCGTCCTCGTATCCCGTGGTGAGCGAGTAGTCGGGCGGCAGCGCGCAGCCGATGGCCGTCAGACACGGCAGAGCGTTACCGAACAGGTCTGGGTCGTACTCCTGTGTGCAGAGAGGCACAATGATGCGTTAACGCACGACGATTAGTTCCTATGAAGTACTTCCGAGTGTTGCATGTTCATCATTAGTGAATTCGAATTTCAACGGAAACAAGAAGCGTGAGTCACTACCGTCGAAACTGACTAGCCAGCTACACAGTACACACATACCATTTTGGCGAGCGAGTCGAAGATGTTTGAGAAGAGTATCATGGTGAGCCTCTTCTCCTCCTCACTGGCACAGCCGTACGAGCCCTGGCCGTTCGGAGAGCCGTAGTAGCGGCCGCAACGGTCGTAGTGCAGCGTCAGAAGCTGAAACACGGAAAACGCAACGGTTATAGGTTACACCACGGTCATGGGCCATTGGTCATATGAGGTGTATGGGAAGTCGTAAGCAGACAGGTAAAGATCGAATACTGTGGTATGATGTACCTCGTAAACAGCGAAACTCGAAGACACCTTGGTGGACTCGTAGGTACATATGTGTAAATGCTGCTCCAGTGTTTGACGCGTCAATACTCTTGTTACAACCCAGTGAAATGGTGAAGGTTTTATGAAGAAGATAGGACTCTCACCCGGAGAGCGACGGTGGTGTACTCGTTGATGTTGGATACGTCCACCGTTAGCTTCCGCAGTAGCTTCAGCATCATTCCCGGATGCAGCTCCCTGACAGCGAAAGTAGGCAGTTACTGTATTGTCAGACTAATACAATGAACAGAGCCACTGGATCGCAGCAGCGTCCCATCTCGAATCCCAGGTCATCTCATGCCATTCCCTTATGCGCCAGCCGCTTCCCTTAATGAACACCACCCACCCACCTGGTGAGTGTGACCAGGAAGTCCGAGACGGCCTCTCGCTGTCCCTTGGTGAGGATCTTGTTCTTACTCAGCCGGTAGACAGTGTGTAGCGTGGCGTCCAGCAGACTCGAGTAGTTGTCGGCGTCGGCGTAGAAGCGCGAGTGTTTGATGAGCAGCGGCAGGATAGAGTTGCCGATGTAGCGGTTCAGAGCCAGACCCATGTCCGACTCGCCGCCGTCACTCTGAGGGGGCGAACAATGTAACAGATAGTGCAAAAAAAATGTTCATTGGAAAACGATTACGAATTGTATAGCAGTTACCATACCATACATGTAAATGACGCGTAAATTCGCATATCAGCGAAATGCGAATCGGCCTTTCGCCAAAAGAAGATCGCCTCTTTATTGGCACTTCAGAGACCCAGCACAGGCCCCTTTTTCAATAAAATAAGGAAAATTATTTCAATAAAAATCTGCCGTCCAATCGAGCTGACGATGTTTGATAACTGCTGGGGATCACAGCTGGCCATGAACACAGGATCAGATACAGGTGATATTGATTACAATGGATATGCTGGACATCACTACGTACTCCATCCAACATAAGCAACTACTGACCTTGTCGAGGACGGTGGCGGCCCTCAGGTCAGGCAGGAAGGCGAACTCGAGCAGTCGGAAGAAGAGCTCGCGGTCCTCGATGCCGTAAACACGCTCCAGGAACAGAACCACCGACTGCTTGTGGGACGGGATCAGACCTGAACGAGAAACAACCGGTAGCGAATTAGTAGCGTTCGCACTATAGAGACAAATACGGACAGAAGGTGGTTATTGGATAAATCAAATTCCTTCCAACCTTTCTCCCAAGTCCGTTTGAAATGACCTGTGCATTACATTCGATGGGTCTCTTTCTGCTGCAGGCTCACAGCAGCTGGCTTTGTCTCTGCTGCCCGTCTGTGCCACTGACCCGACCTTTCACCTCTTTCTCCTCCTCCCTCTCTCTTCCATATTATTCATTTTCATCAACAGTGTCCCTGTACCCAATTCTATCTCTGTTTGTCGAGTTAATCTTCCGCGCATCCTCTAGTGTCACTCTCACGCGTATATGCCGTACAATTCTCCCGTGTCTCCGCAACACCGTCCCGAGCCTGCCCCCCCCCCCCCTCGTGTCTTACTGACCCGCCGGCATGTCGCTGCTGGATGCATCCTCTCCCTCTCCGTCCCTCCCCGTCCCCTTCCGTGTCTTACTGACCCGCCGGCATGTCGCTGCTGGATGCGTCCTCTCCCTCTCCGTCCCTCAGCGTGAACGGCAGGCTCAGCACTCCCTCCAGGTCAGAGAGAGGCACCAGCGAGCGGAGGATGGCACGAGCTCGCAGCGACTCGTTCTTTCCCTGTACGCCACACAGGAAAACGGTTACAAACTGGGATATACCGGTAAACGACGGTTACAGAACTGTCACATATCATCATGCAGTGATCAACATTCACCATTAAGTTACCCACCTGGAAGAACAATTTATTTGATGCACAGTGCGCACATCATTCAGTGTGAAGAAGAGCAACTACAACATCAATTTATTGTCAAAAACCTCGCGTTTTCAAGATATACCACCAGCGTGGGTTGATACCTTTCCACACACGTCTTCACTCACCATCCGCTGCTAACTCTGAAAAGTTTTAAAAAGTATGTTTTCAGTGAAAGCATCACCTGTTCGATGAGGAACTCCTCGGGCGATGAGCGACCCATGACGTCCACCAGGGTGCAGTAGAAGTTGAGGATGGCCGCGCCCGTGTTGATATAATCCTCGTCGTCGTCACTGAGCGGCCGCGGGTGGCTGCTGAACGCTCCGCCGTCAGCCTCGACCGCTCCGTTGTTCTGCGCGTCAATCCGCTCGGCCATCTGCGGATGGGTGAGGTTAGGCAGGGCCGAACGCGAGTCGTGTATTGGTGACAGACGGGTCAAATGTGTAGAATGGGTCAGCAATGGTCGCAAGAGTGGCATGATCAGTAGAAGACTGATCCCAAGCGCAATGAGACATGAATATATCGCTTTTGACTCAGAAAAGGAACGTGTGTAAGAACGACGCCCCCCCCCCCCCCGCGTACAATCTTATTCGGAAGCAACATCGTTATCTTTTACCGGATCGGCTCCCAGTGACCCACTGACGGTGAAAAATTGTGAAACACTGCAATAAAGCCCACCTTGTTAGCCTGGTTGATGGCGTTGAGCAGACCCTCGCCCTCTCCGCGCAGGGCCGGACCGAGACACTCGGGCCGTCGGATCAACAGCCGAATCACCAGGTTGGCGTTCTCCTCAACGCTCTCACCTAGATAAAAGCGGGTGTATAGAGATTATACGCGGATAACCGTTATCGTCTGGCTAATTGGAACAGTTTGTCATTATGTACACTGCAGCTCTCCGATCTTATTCACCAAATCTCCGAGCTAGAGGATATAGTAGGAACTTTTAACTCGCCGTTCTTAACATCATTGTCCTGACATAGGGACACAACCAAACTTCACGCACAGCTGATCGTTTCATCTATGCTCTAATTTGGTTGGACGAGGCAAAGATACAAATAAACATTAAGGGCTAACTCATCTGAATACAAATATTAGATTCGAAAGGCCGGGACGGCAGAGGAAAAATCGATTATCGCCAGACCGGTCAGGGAGCAGCGCTGAGGATGAGCTGATACCGGAGGGATCACCTTACCTCCGACCCAGACGCAGAAGCGGAGGAAGTCGAGGTAGCGCTCGCCCTCGACCGGGTCCCAGCCAAGGTCCGGGTAGCCTTTGGCCACCAGCTCACTGTTGGACTGCAGACCGCACCGGGACAGGTAGACGGCTATCTTCTCCAGGTAGTGCTCTCTGAAGGGCACAGTAACGAGGTGACAGTGAGACGGGCGCATGGCCGCAAAGTTACATAGGGCGACATGGATATTTCAACGGGATGTACGGGCCTCCGAAGGCGGTCTGAAGGTCTAAAATGAGGCTTTCGAGTAGCGATGCTGAATGCCAATGCCGCTAGCTATTTGGCAGACCAGCTCCAATAATAAAAACCAGTGAGCACGCAACTGCTTCATCACCTGAGCTTTGCTGCCACCGAAACGACAATCACCACCGCCAATATCATGATTCTGAGAATAAGCATTGGCAAAGATACCATCACTGCCACTGAGACTGTCACTGCCACCGCCTGCCACTGACCTGAGCGCCAGCGCCAGCTCCGTGTTGTCCATCAGCGACGAGTAGCTGACATCGAGCGGTGTACTTCCCCGCAGAGACGGCCGCGACAGCAGGATGTTGGAGTTTTCCAGCAGGAACTGCAGGTGGTCGAACATGGCCTTCTGGTTCTGGCGCGATGTGCGACAGAAGTAGCAGAGGAAGCGGCAGCACGCCACCACCATCTCATGGGACGTGTCCTGAGGCGCGGCCAAGGTCACACTCACACGCCAAAAGAACACAAGTAAGTGCAGATGCAAAGGAACATAGAACTGAGACCAAGCTGCGGTGTGCATCGGACAATGGGGGTCATTCGTCGGTAGAACACTTTTCAACGCATGTTTTTGTTTGATTTCACTCATTTAACCCTATTAGTGGCAGGCTCCTGGCTACCCCTATTAGTGGCAGGGCTGTTTACGACCCCCCCCCTTGATATCTCGAGATCTAACGGGCCGATTTTCAAAATTCAAACGGCATTCGATTTGTTGTTGTTGTTGATTTTCCCTCCGGCCGCGGGTGGCCCCGCGGCGTAGCCTCATCGGCTCTGGAGGGCCCTGAAGGCGGCCACCAGGGCCGCCACCACGTCACTGCGCCAGACCTCGTCGGGTGTTGGTAGGATGTTCCCTACGGCCGGGATTCTGAGGCGAACACCCATCAGGCCCGGGCACGTGAGCAGGATGTGCCGGGGGGTGTCCGCCTCTTCGCCGCACAGCGGGCACCGGGCGGCCTCGCATAGCAGGTCCCGGCATTGGGCGCAGGCGGCTGAGGGGCTCCGGCCGATGGAGTGTAGGAACTGGGTCGATCCACTCCAGTGGCCAGTCCGGATCTGGTGGACATCGATGGCTGCCCGCCGATCCAGGCCGGAGACTGGGGGCGGGTATCTCGTACCCATCAGCTCCCGGTACCAGCCGGTCGCCGCTCTGCGTGTCGGGTCTGGGTATGACGGTCTGTCCCTGGCCGCCTGGTCCCTGGCTAGACGGGCCGCAGCCTTGTAGATGGTGTTGACGTCGATGGAGGCGATTTCTTGTTCCAGCGCCGCCGCCTCTCCTGCCAGCACGTCCGCCGCCTCGTTGCCTGGGATCCCACAATGCGATGGGACCCACTGCAGCGTCACGTGGCGGTCCGGTGTGGCGATTTCCAGCAGGCGGCTCCATATCTCCGCCCCCTGGACCGTCCTCTGGGCCGAAGGCCCCTCTCTCAGTGCAGCCAGGGCAGACTGTGAGTCGGTGCAGATTATTATTGGCAGTGTGCCGTCACGAGGGTGTGTCGCCAGGTGTTCCAGGGTCATTGCGATGGCCAGCATCTCCGCCCTGAAGCTGGAACAGAGCGCTCCTGCGGGCCTCTTCAGCTCAGTGCGGTCATCATCGGCGTGGACGACCAGCGCGCCGGCCCCTCCACTGAGAACGCCTCCAGTCGCCGACCCGTCGGTCCACACCCAGGTCGCACATTGGGTCAGGGACGCCAGGTGGTGTAGGGCGGCTTCCTTCTTCGTGGAGGCGGCAGCTCCGGCTGGGAGCCCCGCTCCGATGTCCAGGTTGAAGCTGATCGTGCCGGTCGGTTGCCAGGGCGGGGGGCGCACGGGGAGCAGCGGCTCCACCGGTGGCTCCACTCCAAGGGTCCGCCACACCTCCCGACCCAACTGGCGCCATCCGCAGACGGTCTTGAGGCGCCGCGGTGGGTCCGCCACGGCCAGTCGGTGTAGCGGGTCCTCCTCGGGCAGTGCCATGGCCTTCGCCAGCATCCTCGCCGCCAGAGCTGTGCGGCGCGCCGCGACCGGGGGCACGCCGGCTTCGGCCATCACTCCGTGGATGGGGGTCGACCCGATGCAGCCCGTTATGACTCGGGCCGCGGCACGCATCTCGCGTTCCAGAACTTCAATGTTAGTCCTGGCGGCCGCCGGCATCCAGGCGGCCGCCGCATGCTCGATGGCTCCCCTAACGTAGCCGTTGGCGACGGCCCGGAGTTGTCTCTCCTCCAGGCCCCAGCTGCGACCGGTGATTCGTCGAAGTTGAGAGATGCGAGGGCGGACGCGGCGGCGGAGGTTCCTGCAGTGGGGGCCGAACCCCAGAGTCCTGTCCAGCGTTACGCCGAGTAACTTCAGTTCAGGGCCTCCTTCCACCGTCTGGCCCGCCACACGGATGCGGCAACCGACGGCGTCCCGGTGGCTCTGGGACAGAACTAGAAGCTGGGTTTTCTGGCCCGCCACCTCCATCTTGTTCTCCCGGGCCCACTTGACCAGGGTATCGGCCGCTCGTTGTGCCCGCTCCCGCGCGACTTCAATCGTGTTACCCGAGCACAGTGTGGAGGTGTCGTCCGCAAACATGTACGGAGTAGTGCCCGGCAGGGCTCGGAGGGTTGACGCTAGTGGGGCCGACCACAACAAAAACAAGGTCGGGGACAGGACACTGCCCTGGGGCAGCCCTGCCCTGTAGACGCGCTCGCCGCTCCTTGCTCCGTTGAGCTCGACACAAGCCCGCCGGTCTCTGAGGAAGCTCCACACCCAGGAGTTGAAGCACGCCGGTACTCCCATCTCAGCGAGCCGGGCACGCAGGAGGCGATGGTCCACCTTATCGTACGCTCGTGCGAAGTCGTACGCAACGAGGACGAATCTCTGCGCCGACTCACCGTCCGGCAGCTGTCTCCGGGATGGGGGGCACGGCTTCAGCTGCCATCCGTCCTGAACTTGTTGGGTTAGACGAGCGATGGCATCCTCCACACCCCGCTTCTCTCTGAAGCCAACCTGTTCAGGCGGGATCATGCTTCGGGTTGCGATGATGTGGTTTAGTCGAGTCGCGACGAGTCGTTCGGCCAGTTTGGCGATGTGGGATGTCAGGGCAATCGGGCGGTAACTTGCTATGAGCCGTTGGTCCTTCCCGGGCTTGGGAATGGGCACGATGACGGCACGCCGCCATTGCCACGGGACCAGTCCGGTAAGCCACGAGGCGTTGATGAGACGGAGCAGAGCTCTGCGAGCCACCGGGCCCAGATGTCTGAGGTGCTCGTTGCACAGGTCATCGGGTCCTGGCGATTTCTTCAGTTGGGCGCTGGAGATTTGACGCAGCAGTTCTTCCTCCGTGAACGGTGAGCAGCAGCCCGTTCTGTTACCCCTGCACTCTACGCAGGTGCGGACTTCGGCTTCTTTCAGCTGTTTCTTGGCCCGGCGATCGATGGACTTGGCTCGCACCTGTCTGGAAACGTAGGCGTACGTGCGGTTGAACGCCGTTGCCTTGTCCCTGTCCGTCACCAGGGTGCGGCCGTTGTCTTCCATGGTTTCTTGTTTTCTGTGGTTGTCATCTGACGCTCCCTCCCACATCTTCAATATCTTGTGGACCCGCCCGAGGCTCTGGTGTTTGTTGAGGTCCTTCGACACGAAGTCTCTGAAGTGTCGTTGAGAGACGCGGCGCTCGATGGAAGCGGCGCGTCTCTTGGCCTCGATCCAACGTGCCTTGGCCTGGGGGTCCCTGTTACTGTTTTGCATGGCTCTTCTCGCCGCTCTTCTGTCTTCGATTGCCTCCTCCAGCTCCGGGTCCAGAGCCCAGGGTTTGGCGTCGGCTCGTGCCCCTCTTGGTACGTGGGCAACACTAGCCTGTTGGAGGATCGAGTGGAACCTGGTAGCCATCTTCTGAACTGGTTCGTGTTCCGATTCCGCTCCTTGGAAGGCGGCTTCGCACATCTCTTGGAAGGCCAGCCAGGCGGCTTTCTTGAATGACCACTTGGTTTTCCGGATCCTCTTGGGGGCCGACTGTCCAGTCTGCAGCTCCAGGAGCATCGGGAGGTGGTCACTGCCCATGTCTGGGCCTGTGTCCCACTTGCACCTCCTCGCCAGGGACGGGCTGCAGAAGGCGGCGTCCGGGGCCGACTGCCCGCCAGATCGGTAGCTGGTGAAGGTAGGGCGGCCGTCGTTGAGGGTCACCCAGCCGGTCCTGTCCAGCCACGCAGCGATCTTCTCGCCCGTCTCATCCGGGCCTTCGCAGTCCGCGTCCCACAGCGGGTGGTGGGCGTTGATATCGCCGGCGACGATGGTGTTGTCGCTAGTGGGGAGGTAGTCGGGATCGAAGTTGTCTTGTCTCTCGTCTGCCTCATCTGAGCGGATGGGCGGGCGGTATATGTTGATGATGTCCAGATCGGGATTACCAGGTAGGCGAACGCCACAGATCTCGGTGGTGTCGTCTGCTCCGGGCTTGAAGGGGCCGCTCAGTACTGTGAAGTGACGACCGTCACGCATGTAGATGGCGACGTCGCCTCCCTTCACAGGGCCACCAGCTCTGCGGCCTCTGGAGCGTCGAGTCACGACTGGGGGCTGGAAGCCAGGTATCCTTGGTGCCGTCTTAGGGAATTGGCCCTCTTGTACCGCGAGTACGTCGACGTTGGCCTCAAGAAGCCAGGGGGACAGCTCCGCAATCTTCGGGCGGAGGCCCTCCGCGTTCCACACCACAAGGGTGAGGAGACTTCTCCGGGCTCTGTTACGGCGATATCGTCGGTTGCGGGCTCTGCGACGGTGTCGGGTACCCGGTCTCACAGCTGGCGCCTCCCCGCCGTCGTCGGTCCCGGCGGGGGGCGCTGACCCGTCGTTAATCATTTAGCAGGCCGAGCCGCGCAAGCGCGGCTCCAGGCCTGCCGATGGGCGTACGCCGCCCCCGGGCGTTGAGTGTCGATTGCTGAGGTGGCGCAGCAACGCAGCGGCAGCCGGGCGGCCACCGCCAGGGCCCTCGCTGGAGAGGGCAGGTTGAGCCCGTTTGGCTTCCTCCGCAGGTCGCCCCAGCAGAGGCGGGTCCGGGTGGACCCACACCTCCCACCACTTGAAGGCGGGCTCGATCGGGAGGCGGCATTCGATTTCGCTCAACGTGATCTACATTTCAATAAAATAAAAATTAAAAAATGTCAATAGGGGGGTAGAGGGGGGTAAAAACGGGCAAATTGCAGATACATTTTAGACTGTTTATCACGGCCAGGTTTCTGAACCAATCTTAACGCAACTTTTGCCGATCGATAGAGAATGAACCAGGAATTCACATGGATCCTAAAAATATGCATTTTCAAAAATCATAGGCGGATACAGATCATTGAGATGGGGGGTACACAAAAAGTATAGTAAATAAGGTTTTTGTTGGTACTGTTTCTAAAAAGGGTGGTAATAGTCTTGTTATGTTACAATTTTCTTATGAGAGAAGGACTACAATTGTATTGGTCATGCATAGGCGGTGTCAGGGCACCTATGTTGGGAGGTAAAACATAACCCCCCTTTTTGGACGCCTGGATCCGCCTATTCTAGCAAAAACGTGTCAAAAGAGGATGCACAATAACTGTGTATATGTTATCACATGATACCTTTCATTCACTGTTCGTAAAACTGGTGCATACAGTTATAATACATCAGCATCGTGATCTTCGCCCAAATGACTCGCTTCACGAATAGGACCCCCCAATTCCCAGTGCTCTGGAGCCGCCCCTGGTAAAGTTATGAACTTGAAATTTTCAGGGAATGTGCCCAATTTAGTTTTAGGAAAAGTCAGAAAATTTCAGCATCGTAGCTTCAGCGGTTTCGGAGATATTCCCGAAAAACCTGAGAGGTGGATGAAAACAACCCCCCCTGCCACTAATAGGGTTAAATCGCTTGTAAAATAAATTGTGCTAATGTCATCTGGAAAAAAGTTTTCCGATTTCATCCACCATTCATAACTCCAGCTTCACTTAGCAAAGACGGAACAACGTATCCCCTAGCGATCCAAGTTCGTTTCATTTCGACACGCTTCGTGTTCATTTCGCGAAAGTCCCGAACGTTGTTTGGATACAAAAAGATCAATATGTGAAAGCCGCATGAATGTTCAGGCATATATGTTTATGTGATAAATCTTGGGCTGTCAAATAATTGTAAAAATAAGTGGCGTTCAGTGCCAAAAAGATGCAGGAGGAAAACGAAACAGAACCTTGCGAGTTGCGAAAGGACAACGTTATCATTCCATTGTCTGTCTTTCAGCCGAGGTGTGAAGGTGTGCATTATTTTGCGAGTTACAGCCGTTTACGCCATCAGATGACATCAGTGTTTGCACGGGCACGAATCGAGTGTTCATAATATCAAAATGAGATTTTCCTTCTTTTTTTGTCACCTGGATAACCCCCGACGTCTTCCTTTGAACTGAGAAGTGTCAAAAAACGATCTACGAGCTCTAGTTGAGCCGGTGTGGACACTTATGACACACAGCTACCGAATTTACAGACAGAAATGGCACCGAAAACTACACACGTATTCACAAACGCCGGCAAAGGTATAATCCTCCGCTCTACTCTATACACGAAACGGAATACGAATCGTAATAAACGTAGCAGTGCACATCATAGAGGCAGGCAAAGTCAAACATCCAAGAGGGTGGACATTGGACATTTCATGTAGGTACTTAAATCGCAAAACGGCTTACAATGTGTAGAAGTAAAAGGGATAGGCGCACCAGTGTATGCTCAGCTGGAAGGCAAAAACAATGACTTGAAGCTGGAAAAACTTCATTCAAAACATCATGGAGAAAAGAAATTCTCGTCGTGAGATATGTAAAATAAATAAGATAGTTTGAGGAGGCATATTTACAAACGGTATGCATGATATATCGGGTAAGTGATGCTAAAAATTAAGTTTGTGTGAGAGAGCGACTATTTCTAGGCCTAAGACGCCACATAACTAATTCAAAACAGCAAAGACACAGGACAGATTGACAGCCCAAAGGTTTTTTGGGTGGCGACTGACGAAGACAATTTCCAAAAATAGCGAACTTAAGCACAGGGGAACCACATCGAAGACTGGACGAATATATAGCCCCGTGAGAATCAACTCCGGGTGATCGGACACACATACACTCACAGTCACACGCAGAACACACATATTGGTGGGGTCAGAGCGGCAGCACGTGCAAAAGCGAGTCTCACCTTCGTCGTCGACATCTGCTCGTGCGCCATCTAAAAACGAAACGGCAGGGTGAAAGGTGAAATAAAAATGATCCAGGTGAAAATGTACACGAGCAGAGCCGCTGGGTACGGGCCGAGCTCCTATGGGGCGGACGGTGGGGAGAAATTAAACCGGCAGACATTAAGAACCAACGAGATGGCTTAGGCGAACAGTGCGCTTCAGCCGGAAAAGGAAAGTAGCGTTTTATGATTGATCACCATAGCCGGGTTTTCTTTCAGTGCAATTTTATTTGGACTGAGGTTCGTTGTTCCTTAATAAGCTCATGCATTAGCTGGCGATCAAGCAATGTGAGGGAGGGGTCGACTACTAAAACCGTTCGGGGCATCATCATGCCTATCGGTATTACTGAGCGAGGAAGGAATGTAGATAAGGCACCGTAACCTGATCATCCGAAAGCTAGCTTGCTTTATCGATATTCACTAAGCAATAAAACTGATTAATCATTCACTCTTAAAACATCGATAAACGTACGTTTCATAATGAAAAATCGATTATGAATCAATCAAATCAATAAACAGCTGAGCGGTCAGACAGCAACGCATCATCAGCCAGCACTGGACAGACGAATGTGGGACAAGAAGGGGACTTGGTGTAGGTAGACCGTCCAGTAGGCGTCTAAAAAAGGTACAAAACGGTAACCAGCTCTGACTAGGGCTCTCCTGCCCCGTTTGGTAACGGCAGTAAGTTGCGAAAAGCGAGAAGTAGTCAAAGCGACAGAAGCGATAGAAGCAATCCTGACCGAGAATTTCAGGCACGCAAAGGAGCTTTTACAGCATTATTTATGAGCAGATAGCATTATGGTGCCGCGTCACGACACATTTCAAACTGCGATATCCCAAAGCAGCAAAGTAAAACAAAACTTTCGATTCTGCAGCCAGATGGTGGTATGATACCGTACAACTTTGTTCTGTTGTTTCGCACAGAAAGAACGCTTTCGTCATCTTTTGCCGTGATTTTAAAGTAGTCTTGTATGATTGTGTACGACGCGCATGGCTTGATCTTCATCGGCTGCAGTGATAAGATGAGGTAACCCAAAACGCAACTTTTTTGTGTGACGCGGTTGTGGCCTACGTCATCTTCGTGACTCACTGCTTGTGTGAGTCTTGACTGTGACCTGTATGAACCGAGACCTACCGTGATTCAATACCCGTGTAACTCGTGACTTTTAAGCCCTTTATGAACCTTGTGACACGTAACCAATATGACCCGACCCTCGGTGCGACCCGGTTTGTGACCCATGTCCTGTATCCCACCCGCATTCCGCCTGACCCGTACAGTCTGTGATCCGTGCTCTCTGTGATCCCTGCCCAGTCTGTGACCCATGCTCTGTTCCCGAATGCGTTTGCGCACCTTGCTCTCCGCCTCATTGCTGGCCGACTCGTTCTCGGCCTGCGAGCGGCGGGCCAGAGTGTTCATCATGATGGCCATCACGTTCTCGTGGATGCGCAGGATGCGCACCAAGTCCGGGTGTTGGAAGAACACGTGGTTGTTCACCAGAGACCTGAAGAAAGACGGAGAGTGAGACATGTTATCGGCTGTCTCTCAAGGTAACACACAATCCCGTCACGGAGACCAACATTGTAACGGGAGCATCGTAGTTGCCGTGCGATACCTATCAGATTATCAACTGGCATAGATAACAGGAATCATGTTATCTCTGATTCATGTTATCTATCAAACTGGATTAAATGTGGTACGGGTACGACATTACTTTGCAATATTACCTGTTGTGTGCCGAAAGATAAAACTTTTGAGACGATAAAACAAACACAAAGCGGCATAGGAAACGTTATGAAGAAAAAGGTGATCTCACAGACTTGTACTCGAGCGACGAGCCTACATTCATACAAGAAGTTACCTCCGTTCGCTATTCTTATCTTACCCACTGTGATTTGGGTTCATGCTGATTTATATAATTAATTATTTACACATTTATTCATTTATTTATGCCTGAATCATTAGCATGTCGGCTTGTACAATAAACGTTTGACGAGTATTACCCCAACATTCTGACATTTCTCGCTCCAACTCGAAGCAAGCTGGGCCGCCAGGCGCCTTGCAGCTGACGGCTGACGCGCAACGGTTATCCAGACCAAGGCAGGCTCGGCCGCCGCCGCCGCCGCCGCCTCACGGCCAACGTCAGTGACCACGGCCGCCGCCGCTGTCTCGCTAGTTATGGGCATCTACTAGCCGATCATGAATTTGGTGGCGCAAAGCGGCGGCGGCCGCGGCGCTCGGGCGGCTGCGGCTCGGCCGGCCGCCGGCGGCTCGTGGCCATGAAACTTGTGCAGCCGTTGGTCGGACCGGCCGGTCACGTGCGGGAGGCGGGGCTTCGGTCGGCGGCGGCGGCGGCGGCGGCGGCGGCAGTGCACCGACTCTGCACTGACCGCTGCCGCACCGAGCCGTATCTCACGGCATTGGCCACGGCAATGGAATTCTTTAGAGTTAAAAAACAGACATCAGAAGACTTCAAGCTGGGGCATGATCCGAGTCGAAAGTGGTAGCAATTAAAGTCAGGTTCAGTAATTCGGAACTTGACAGTTTTGTTGAAGCAAGTTTGAACGTCCTAGCCCTTCGGAGATGTTGGCCTTCGTTTCATTCACCCGTCATCATCTAAACCACCTAAAAATAACATTGGTAAATTCCTTTTTAATGACCTCCTTACAAATTATTTATGTTTTTGATGTATTTAGCTTGATACAAATTTTCGGCCACGGGCCTTGATCACATATCAGTTTAAACACAGACACGAAAGACACACAGACACCAATGCAGTTACAGTTTTGCCAGTTTTTTAGTTTCTGTACAACTTCGCGTGATAAAAAAGCACAATATACCTACAGTTCTAAGGAATATGTTAGATGGGCCCAACAAAAACGATCATAGACAATCTAATAGGTCAAAAATTAACTTTAAATTCGTTTTCGTATTCGATTCATTCATCTACTTTTCAACGTTCACTCATGTACATGCACATAAAACCCGATAACTACATAATGTACCACGATGATACATTTCGATTCAGTTGCGGCTTTAGCTTTCGGATTTGTAGCGACTCACTTATCTTTCGGTGTGGATGGTCGCCGGTTTTTTGAATGATTTCCACCGTTAGAGGAATTTCACCCCTTTGAAGTTCTAATTCTCTGTGAGCCGATCTAAAGTGATCACCAATGGGTGTGTCTCGGGTCTTGTTCTTGGCGCTTACGACATGCTCATTAAAACGTAGCCTAATAGGCCGTTTTGTCTCGCCCACATATGTTACTTCTTCTCCACCTTTCTGGCAGACGCTACATGTGATTCTATACACTACACCTGCGGTTAGGCACTTCCCTTTCAATCCCGACTCACAAGTATTGCAAACTCGCGACCCTGCTGGGCACTTGGGATGGGAGAGGGCAGAACGTGTGAGGCGGCTTTTCAATGTGTTCTTGCTTTGCCAGGCTACTCGCAAGTTTAAATCAGTTTTTCTCACGATGGCATTGACTTTGGCACAGACGGTCTCGTCGATATATGGTAGAGTCAGGTACCCGTCTAGCTGCTGTACTTGCTGCTTTTTGTGGTGCCGGTGCTCTCCATTTGTCGTCGGATGTGTCTCTGCTCGGGTAGCCTCTCGTTGCAGCCTCCGCACCAACTGTTTTCTGTAGCCGTTTTCTTCGAATAGCTGCTGTATCTTCTGGCAGGAGCGAGCACGTGCCGCTGCATCTGACGACAGTCTGATGGCGCGTCGAAACTCGGCTCGTATCACTGCCTGCTTGGTCTTCATGGGATGTGATGATGTTTGATGGATGATGATCCCGGAGTGATTTGGCTTTATATATAGCTCTGTTTGGTACTTGGAATTTGAGTTCACAGTGATGAGAGTGTCCAGAAACGGTACGTTTCCAGACTTACTGCTATCTTCCAGAGTGAACTTGATTCTCGGGTGGATGGAGTTGAGGTACTCGAGGAACTTGTTCAGCTCGTCTCGTCCGTGAGTCCAGACTCCAATGGAGTCATCAATATACCTCGAGTAGAACTCTGGTTTCAGCACTGCATTGTCCAGTGCACGCGTTTCGAATTTGTGCATGAATATGATGGCTACTGGGGGTGCCACCTTGTTGCCCATGGCGATGCCGACTCGCTGTCTGTAGAACTCGTTGTCGAATTCGAATACATTGTTTTCGAGGCAGTGGGTGAGAAGGCGGGTGACGTCATTTGGTTCTAGTCCACACAGGTCGATTTCGGCTCGGTGTTCGTCTATCATATCGGCAACTGCTGACACGGCTTCGTCTAGAGGGATGCTGCCATAGAGATTAACGACATCGATGCTAAATACTATAGCACCTGGGGGCAGCTGATGTCCCGGAAACTTGTCGCCCAGTCGTTTCAGGTATTCACCCGTGTTTCTGAGGTGTGCTGGAACCTTTTCCAACAGCTGGTTCAGGATCCTCTCCAATAACCAGGACGTTTTCTCGGTTGGTCCACCACATGCTGAGACGATCGGCCTTAGGGGAACTCCGTTTTTATGGTTCTTCGGAAGTCCATAAAATACTGGTGTTCTGGAGTTCGTCGGTGTCAGATCTTTGATTAGTTTCTCGGGGAGCTTATCTCTACTCGTTTGCTTGAACAGCTGCTTCGTTTTCGCTTCGATTTTGGCTGTAGGGTTGTTCGAAAGTTTATCGTAGTTCGTTTCGTCATCTAAAATAGCGTGCGCCTTCTCTACGTATGAGTCCTTGTCCAGTATCACCAGTCCCTTACACTTGTCGCTAGGCTTCACTATTATGTTCTCATTGGCTTGCAACTCCTTCAGTCCTCTTCTCTCTTCTGCTGTCGTGTTCATCGTAGTCTGGGCATGATTCTTGTACGTGTTCAATATCTTCTTCTTGAGTGCTTTTAGCTCTTGTTCTGTGTTACTGTTGGAAGGCGGAGGTTGTTTCTTCACTGCATCTGGGAAGTTCGGTTTGAATCTTCCTCTGTTGTGTCTTGTTTCTGGCTCTCCTTGATCTTGTTCGCTGTCCCTTGTTCCTTGCCCGGTTTGCTCGTCTTCTGCGTCTCTGTCAGGTACTGGTGTCTCTTGCATCGGGTTTAAAGCATTCGAAGTCCGGCGTAAGTAATCTTTCCACCTTTTTCCATATGCCAGTCTTTCAACTCCTGCTTCGACTTCTTGTAAAATAGAGTCATTGATTTTAGGTGTAATGAGTACTTTCCAACAGTAATGACTCTATTTTACAAGAAGTCGAAGCAGGAGTTGAAAGACTGGCATATGGAAAAAGGTGGAAAGATTACTTACGCCGGACTTCGAATGCTTTAAACCCGATGCAAGAGACACCAGTACCTGACAGAGACGCAGAAGACGAGCAAACCGGGCAAGGAACAAGGGACAGCGAACAAGATCAAGGAGAGCCAGAAACAAGACACAACAGAGGAAGATTCAAACCGAACTTCCCAGATGCAGTGAAGAAACAACCTCCGCCTTCCAACAGTAACACAGAACAAGAGCTAAAAGCACTCAAGAAGAAGATATTGAACACGTACAAGAATCATGCCCAGACTACGATGAACACGACAGCAGAAGAGAGAAGAGGACTGAAGGAGTTGCAAGCCAATGAGAACATAATAGTGAAGCCTAGCGACAAGTGTAAGGGACTGGTGATACTGGACAAGGACTCATACGTAGAGAAGGCGCACGCTATTTTAGATGACGAAACGAACTACGATAAACTTTCGAACAACCCTACAGCCAAAATCGAAGCGAAAACGAAGCAGCTGTTCAAGCAAACGAGTAGAGATAAGCTCCCCGAGAAACTAATCAAAGATCTGACACCGACGAACTCCAGAACACCAGTATTTTATGGACTTCCGAAGAACCATAAAAACGGAGTTCCCCTAAGGCCGATCGTCTCAGCATGTGGTGGACCAACCGAGAAAACGTCCTGGTTATTGGAGAGGATCCTGAACCAGCTGTTGGAAAAGGTTCCAGCACACCTCAGAAACACGGGTGAATACCTGAAACGACTGGGCGACAAGTTTCCGGGACATCAGCTGCCCCCAGGTGCTATAGTATTTAGCATCGATGTCGTTAATCTCTATGGCAGCATCCCTCTAGACGAAGCCGTGTCAGCAGTTGCCGATATGATAGACGAACACCGAGCCGAAATCGACCTGTGTGGACTAGAACCAAATGACGTCACCCGCCTTCTCACCCACTGCCTCGAAAACAATGTATTCGAATTCGACAACGAGTTCTACAGACAGCGAGTCGGCATCGCCATGGGCAACAAGGTGGCACCCCCAGTAGCCATCATATTCATGCACAAATTCGAAACGCGTGCACTGGACAATGCAGTGCTGAAACCAGAGTTCTACTCGAGGTATATTGATGACTCCATTGGAGTCTGGACTCACGGACGAGACGAGCTGAACAAGTTCCTCGAGTACCTCAACTCCATCCACCCGAGAATCAAGTTCACTCTGGAAGATAGCAGTAAGTCTGGAAACGTACCGTTTCTGGACACTCTCATCACTGTGAACTCAAATTCCAAGTACCAAACAGAGCTATATATAAAGCCAAATCACTCCGGGATCATCATCCATCAAACATCATCACATCCCATGAAGACCAAGCAGGCAGTGATACGAGCCGAGTTTCGACGCGCCATCAGACTGTCGTCAGATGCAGCGGCACGTGCTCGCTCCTGCCAGAAGATACAGCAGCTATTCGAAGAAAACGGCTACAGAAAACAGTTGGTGCGGAGGCTGCAACGAGAGGCTACCCGAGCAGAGACACATCCGACGACAAATGGAGAGCACCGGCACCACAAAAAGCAGCAAGTACAGCAGCTAGACGGGTACCTGACTCTACCATATATCGACGAGACCGTCTGTGCCAAAGTCAATGCCATCGTGAGAAAAACTGATTTAAACTTGCGAGTAGCCTGGCAAAGCAAGAACACATTGAAAAGCCGCCTCACACGTTCTGCCCTCTCCCATCCCAAGTGCCCAGCAGGGTCGCGAGTTTGCAATACTTGTGAGTCGGGATTGAAAGGGAAGTGCCTAACCGCAGGTGTAGTGTATAGAATCACATGTAGCGTCTGCCAGAAAGGTGGAGAAGAAGTAACATATGTGGGCGAGACAAAACGGCCTATTAGGCTACGTTTTAATGAGCATGTCGTAAGCGCCAAGAACAAGACCCGAGACACACCCATTGGTGATCACTTTAGATCGGCTCACAGAGAATTAGAACTTCAAAGGGGTGAAATTCCTCTAACGGTGGAAATCATTCAAAAAACCGGCGACCATCCACACCGAAAGATAAGTGAGTCGCTACAAATCCGAAAGCTAAAGCCGCAACTGAATCGAAATGTATCATCGTGGTACATTATGTAGTTATCGGGTTTTATGTGCATGTACATGAGTGAACGTTGAAAAGTAGATGAATGAATCGAATACGAAAACGAATTTAAAGTTAATTTTTGACCTATTAGATTGTCTATGATCGTTTTTGTTGGGCCCATCTAACATATTCCTTAGAACTGTAGGTATATTGTGCTTTTTTATCACGCGAAGTTGTACAGAAACTGAAAAACTGGCAAAACTGTAACTGCATTGGTGTCTGTGTGTCTTTCGTGTCTGTGTTTAAACTGATATGTGATCAAGGCCCGTGGCCGAAAATTTGTATCAAGCTAAATACATCAAAAACATAAATAATTTGTAAGGAGGTCATTAAAAAGGAATTTACCAATCACCTACATGCCTTACATACAAAGAGCACTACAAGAATTAAAAATAACATTAAAGGAAAAGGGCCACCTTTAACATGGGGATTGAAACTGAGATAGCCATCTTGTAGCCCGTGTCCGAAAACCTATCTGACTACCTCCTTACGGCCGATTTCGGCCTCCATTCGTAGTTATCGGCAATTTTAAAAGAAAATACGCCAGGAATGCGTCCTTATCCCAGGAATGCGTTCTTATCCGACAATACAGCCACCCGCGGCGAGGCTTTGGTTTTTTACCAATCAGCTCCAACCAGCTCAGCTTTAACCAATCAGCTTATCTGACACAATCCGACGAGTCTGTCTTCTGAACGCTGATTGGCTTGAGTGTGACATCATCGCTATGCCATCATACAGTAGGTGCCGTAGAGAGTATCAACATAGTACCAATATGTTAAATAGTTTTAAATACTTTTTCGCGAATTGTGCACTTCTGGCACCAGTTTTAAAAAGAAAATGAAAAATAATAATGTCAAAATGAAAAACAACGATTTCTTCATATTTCACGAAGGTGGCCCTTTTCCTTTAAAAGGTAAGAGAAATTCCAGCTTGCAAGTGGGAGCCGACAAAATGCTAAATTTGCTTCAACAATCAACTTTTCATAGAAAAGAAACTGCCATTGTAACTCGAGCTTTCCTTGAAATCGCAGAATCTATAATACATATTATAAAAACGCTAAAATTACAGAAAAGATTGCCTTCCGAAAATAGTCGGTACTTTCTACCCGCTACCGTTATTACACGGAATTTTAATCGTCCATGTGGTGTGCCCGTTCTAATCTCTTCCCTGTCGTACTCTGTCCGAAAGCGACACGGCTCCCCATCTCTCAGTCACCGTCCAGTCACGGTCCGGCCGCTGGGGACCCTCTGTCACCCTTCAGTGGAGCGTCTGCACGCCCTGCAGACACCCCACCTCTCTCCTCTCTCCTTCCCCTCTCTCCTTCTCCGGTCAGTGCAAGTACCGTGCGTGCACCGTCCTCCCTCCCTCACCCCCTGACCGCTCAGCCGCTATTGCCGGACCGGGCGACCTTGGCACACACACAGACCGGGGCACCGCACCGGTCGGCGTGCACGGTGCAGGACCCGGGAGAACGGTAACGAGCCAGCCACTGTCCCCGGTCCCGTCATCATTTATTACGGTTATGCATTCTAGTTCAATACTTTGGCCTCTATATAGCAATTGAATATTTTTGTAGTTGCGAATATTCATAGTCATCCGGGAGACAAAGTGGCCAAATTTGGCTGCATCAATTAGTTTATGTATTAAAAGTGATGCCACGGATGAGGTATGCCGAAAAGGTAGAGCCTGTGAGTACGTTTTGCGGTAAGTAAGTACGATGTGGAACTGGACGTGAGCCATGATTGCCATATATCACGGTTCTGGGTTCTGTATTTGAGTCGCGACTGACCAGAGCAGCTTCCTGACGAGCTCCTCCTCCTCCGGCGACATCTGGACGGGCAGCAGGGCGCGGATCTTGGAGAGGAAGTTCCACAGAGACGCCACTTCGACGCTCGTCTTCGCGTTGATGACGTACGTCTTTTCCAGAGCCTTCATCAGCTCGCCAACGGCGTTATACTGGCGCAGCAGTAGTCTGTAATAGAGACGAACGGACAACGGTAAATGCTAAGCACTGTTCAACAAATACATCGGCGAAAGAAAAAAAATGAAGGAGCTCGACGAGTTAAAAACACGCATAAGTTTACACAATTCAACGACAAAATTGTCATCGTCGATTAGCAAAAATAACCGAGCTTCGACTCATAAGAAAAAAAGCTAAATGATTCATTTATAATATGACAGATAGTTACCCCGAACGATGCAGTTATTACGAGCGCTCATAATGCTGTTGCACAACCCCGTCACTCACGTAACTACATAGTAGCCGTTTTCACGACGGTCTATCCGGAGAGTGCACCTGATTTGACCAAATCTGCACCTAATCTCTTTTACAGCAAATATCTTCATTTTATGAGTTTATTTCAGTGTTTTAGTCGATGATGCTCTCTGATAATACGACAAAGCAGGCATATAAGCAATTAGTGTAGCCCTAGCTGATAGCTACTAAGAGACACACTGAACCTGATTTGACCAAATCTGCACCTGATCTGCACCAGATGTGCACTAAATGTGTACCAGATGGCCGTCGTGAAAACGGCTATTACATACCTGAACATCTCTCGGATCAGTTTGGAGTCCTCAATGAAGCTCTCCTCTGCCCAGCGGACGATGGTGGGCACCAGGACGCGCCGGAACTTGTCCTCGGGACTTTGTTCCTCCTCCTCATCGGCAGCGGCGGCCGCCTCGGCCTGCTTCACCATACCGATGACGGAGAGGAAGGTGGAGCTCATCGACTTGGGCTGGCTGCTCTCCGCCTGTAGGTGGAAACGCGGTTGTGAGGTTAAAGGCAAGGGAAAGATGGGACGCCACGGTCTTCGCTGGATGGTGCTGAAGGCGCTGAAAGGCGCGACCGCAGCTGGATGATCGTTCCATATTGCTTCTTACTTCCCATCAGGATATGCAAGCTCTGATTTACTTTGATGGCTTTAAAATATGCGAGATATTTAAAATGTTTGCTTTCGTACGTCCTCTGCTCCCTCCTCCTCGGCGGTGACGATGGAGATTTTCTTCATCAGCACATCGTGGAAGTCCTTCATCTGCTGGATCAGATCGTCGCCGACTGACACGTCGTCCGGGTCGATGTTCTCCAGGTTCTTGAAGCTCAAAATCGAGTTCATCTGTCGGGGAAAAGCGTACCGTAGGTCAAATTTAGTGCCTCATAAGCGCCGCAGCCTATATATAATAAAAAAGCAGGCTTCATCATATGCTTACTTGTTCGACAGCAGAACCCCCATTCCCTTCGCCGAACTGACATGTTCACCTAGGTGGGCAGTGCAACTCTGTTCCCTAGTCTGTGCTGACCTGTTCACGAGGCGGACAGCGGAACTCCTTGGTCTTGCGCGCAGTGACCGACGAGGGCAGCTCAGACTGCTTGATGTCAACATAGCGGCGCAGCTGATCCCGCTGCAGCTCACCCACGTAGTCGTGACTGACGGAGCACAGACACAGTGTCAGTGGTGGCAAGTCGGTGAATGTGTAACGCCGGTGGTAAGAAAGACACTGATAAAAGGGGTCGTTTATTGGTCTTCGACTAGACAGTCAATTGGAGAACTAGGACTGTGCGTTAGATTAGGTACCGGCCTAAGGTCATGTTAACCTTGTTAACATTACGGTTAACATTGCATTATACAGCCAGTGTGGTTTGTCATTTATTTAAAGCAGCATTGCTCACATTTTCCGTCTATGCTATAACATGACGCGCTCATTTAATAATTGGCTCGAATGTTCCTTGAACTGTGTAGTTTCACTCCGTGTCGTTAAGACATCTAACCTGAAGGCCACAATGCTCTCGACCCTGTGTCGCAGCTGGATGTCATAGAGATGGTGCAGCAGGTAGCAGATCTGCAGCTTGCAGCCCTCCGCCATCTTAATCTGCAGCAGACCCCGCCTGCAAGGACCGCGGTCAGTCAGTAACCGTCGGTTTGTAGTCAGAGGCATCAAAGAACCGTAAGGAAACAAAAAAAAGCAGCATACGAGAAACTACGCGACTGGGCTAGTCCCTAAAATCATCCATTATTGTCAACGACTCGCCTCCCATGTCAGAATGATGACCGATACTGACCTGTGCTGGTCCTTTCCCTCTGGGTCGAAGGTCGGGTCCCAGGAGGCGTGGTCAATCATCACCAGCAGATCCTGAATGTCCTCGTCTCGTAGGTAGCCGATCAGCAGCAGTCTGTCACAGAGCTTCAGCAGCGGCCTGCGGGATAGCACGAGCGTAATTTGTCAGTAAGGCAAACTGCTAGAAGTAGAAGCTAAGCCCGTTTTGGTTCATAACGATGACCGAATAACTATAAAAGGGCGGTTTACAATATCATAGGCTTTAGGATAAGCCTGTCCCGTATCTCACTTGGTAGAGCGTTGGATTGCCAAAACGTGAGAGCCCGGACTCATAAAAAGGCACGTATCGTCGTGTATGGGTAGTTATGAAAACACTACGAGATGCACCAATTTAAGTATTGTGATTTACATTTTGATCCCCCATTTGTTAGGAAAATGCAAAAAAACGAGGACGACAATATTTATCAAGACTATATCACAAATAGCATTTCCTCTTCATCCCACCTCCCATCGTACTCATCCCGGTCTACCCGTGCCCGCCCGGTACTCACACGAATAGTGTCTCGTTGGATCCACCGATTGAATCCCGCGTGTGCACCTGGTTCTTGACGTAGGCGTCCTTCAGCGCCTCCATTACAAACACGCGCACCGTCTCAAAGTCAAAGTACGGGATCGCCAGTTCGTTCACTTTCTCTGAAAATAAATAGCACGCATAAGACACGCGCATAAAGAAAATAGATTCCTTGGCAAAACTTTGGATGCATAACAAGCGTTACCATATATAATCCAGCAGTTATGAAAAAAATTAGCACCAGGACATGCCTTACTTTGCGTCAAGTGTCTTCTACTCAGCGCACCCGACGCAGCGTCCCTCTCAGCACATAAGTATCACAGCGACGCCCTTCCACCCTAGACCAGATAGCAAGGTGTCCATACGAGTGAATCAAGACGGCGACACCTACCGCTGATGTCTGTGACGGGCAGTGTTACACCTACCGCTGGTGTCTGTGACGGGCAGTGTGGCCATGGCCGGCTGGACGGACATGGTCGTCTGGACGCTCAGACTGTGGGCCATGCCGGGCTCGTCGTACAGCTGCTTCAGCTCGGGACCCAGCGGGATGACGTACTCGTTACTGGTCACCTCCCTGCGGGAGAGTGGAGGGCATCGGTCAGCTCACTGAGAGATAGTCACATGTCCTTGATTATATCACAAAGAGAGACGCAGACGGTAACGTTATCCTACTGGTGATCAAAGACACCTATCACTTAAACTCACTGAAGCAAAAGAAAGAATCGAAGTGACAATAAAGAAGCATAAATAACCATCTCTGTGCTGATCAGTGGTCAGTCCGTAAGAAATAAACGGGCCTTCGGCACGTCTTGGCAGCCACCCACATGACGATCGCATTCGAGCCGTCAAAAGTTTATCCCGGCCACCACTCACATGGTATTGGCGTGGGACTCCATGTGCACGGCGATGAGCAGGTCGTAGAATCCGCGCCGCAGCGGGCCCGACATGTACTCGGCCCGGATGGCATAGAGCAGCTGTTTGTCGTCCACGTGGTGGCAGAGGATGTGAGCGCCGCGGTAGTTGGACTGGAAGCACACTGCGCAGTACAGCTCCAGCGTGTGCGCGTGGAAACTGTAAGATAGACGGAGAGGGGGGGGGTCAGACGGTCAGGTGCGGAACAGTTGGCGGGTAGTTGCTGTTTATCTATTTCAGTCAGAGAAGCGATTTGCAAAAGTTTCCTTGACGCGACAAGACCAGAAGACTTGGCAAGAACGTCGTAGGTTTTTCTATGATGAAGATAGATAGCTGTAATCACTGTGAAGGTAAATCACTGTAGGTGCACACTGCTGAAGAGTGAAGAATTCTTGACGTTCAAAAACAGGCTATTCTCATGCACTTCCTGCATGTATTTCCATTGCCGACGGAGCACACAGTTCAACGCCCATCACCCTGACACCTCATAAGCCAGCGGCAGTCGCCCGTTCCTTTCCTGAACAGCAGCTTATACCATACCTGAGCAGTCGCTCATGCTCGATCAGCTCCAGTATATCGATGCAGCGGTCCTCCTCGGGTATATGTAGCGCCAGCATGGGCACCGGGTCCTCGCAGTAGATGGACCAGCCCCGGATGTCGGACAGTTTGAGCGCGTGGACGCGCAGGCTCTGGTTGGGCACGCGCGCCCACTGGTGCGGCTTCAGCAGCTGGAACTTGAGACGAGGCGGGAACTGGAAGGACAGATGGCAGTCAGACAGTTTAGTTAGATCATCTGTAGCTTTTTGGAGCACTAAAGGCGTATTTGTCAACATTCTCACACGGACAACAGGGAAACACATAACTCATGCCTAAGTAATATCAAACGCTGCAACGGATATGATATAGTACGAACCTAACGGATCATACCCGTCTCAATAATAAAGATCGTTTTTTTATAAGATGGTCAGTATTCGGCATTCGGACCTCGTTTTCCCGGCTCTCACCCCCGCCCGGTACCCGGTCTGTACTCGCCTGCGGTACGACGTGTTTCTCGGAGCTCTGCAGCACGGCAGCGGAGAGCGGCAGGGAAGTGGGCGTTCTGCCGAGCTCGATCTGCAGCACGTCCTTACTGGTGGCCTCGACAAACACGGCCGGGAACAGCTTCACGCCCGGCTCCATCTGTATAGAGCGGAGAGAAGAAACACAACAGTCAGATACTTATCTGCTCATATTGAGCAAGAAAAAATAGGAAGCCATAGCTTATGAGGCACAAAGCTTGCTCCATTTGCATTCATCCATCCTTTTCTACCTCAACACAAACCTATCCACATCCCCTCACGCCTCCCTTTTCGGGCTCGCAGCGCTTTCTGGCGATGTTTTCCCGGTATTCGACATGAAGCTCAAAGCTGATGTTGTTTATGAGATCTCACCTTGAACCTGATGTTAGTCTCCTTGCCCTCGCAGGTGAAGGCAATGACTCCGGTCGAAGTATCGATGAAGCAGCCGATCGACATGCCCTGCGAGGCGCCCTTGCCCGACGCGTCGGCCGAGACCTCCGAGAGCAGGTCGTCGGCCCGCACCATGTAGCAGCTGTGGCGGTCCACACTGGTGGCACACAGGCATACATTGTCTCAGCACACTCTGAACTCGCCGGGACGTAGACAGCGCCTTGCACACAGTCACAGATGCACACAGCTACTTCGGACGCCTTGCACACAGCTACTTTGGGCTCAACCGGACACAGAACAGAGCTGACATATTAACCCTAGAACGCCTAGGGGGGGGGGTTGTATCAACCCCCCCCCCCCCCTGAGGTTTTTTCGAAGTGCACGCTAAACGGCTTGTCGTAGCGGGCTGAAATTTTCAATACCCTCTGGGGCAACCTTTGCGCATCTTTTGCCGAAAAAAAATTGATCGGGTCATGTCAGGTCACGGAGTTATGACGTCATAAGAGGTACAGCCTCCGGCCGACAGTTACCAAACGTGTGCGCCGAATCCCTAGGTTTTCTGCCGGTGATACCCACATTGTTTGATGGATCATGATGAAACTTCCCATGCATGTTGGGGCAAGCATTGGCTATCGTGTGGTGCAAGAAAATTGACCGGGTCAGGTCAGGTCACGGAGCTATGACGTCACAAGAGGAACAGCGTCCGGTACTATTTTTGAAAAGCGCCCGAACCACTATTTTGCTAATTCTTGTCACCTCAATGGGAATATGCAGCAATATTAGCTTCTATAGGGAGCAAATGGACCTCCCGAATCCAAAAATACAATCACATTTCAAAAATTTAAATTTTGATTTTTCGAATTTCTGCCGCCGACTGTGACCTTGCCGACTTCCGGCGCTCCCAACGCGCCATTTTTAGAGCTAGGGAAAGGAAATACATACCAAACGATAGAGAATTGATCAAGAAACACGATAGTGAAGGTTTCAAGTCGATATCTCCCACCGTTTTGCCGCAATCGCCGCGGAAAGTTGAAAAAGTTTGATTTTTTCGGAAAATTTGACCTTTGACCGGTCATAAGTAGGTCAAATGTGACCTAGGACCAAAAAATATACCACCAATCGCGAGATCTCGTTGAGAGCAATCCGTTGGTTTTTGCCGCTAAGCTCTACGACCTTCCGTTTCGAAACGCCAGGGGGGGTCGTAACAACCCCCCCCCCCTGGTCGTTCGTGTTATGAGAAATGGCCTGGTCGTGCGAGGGTTAAGTGCCAGCCGTCAAAGATCAACAAACTTCATTACATTTCCGACTGGACTTTCTTCAAGTCCAGAATCCGAGATCGGATTTCCGACTTCATTGTTTATCAGATTGCGCGATTCTGATAAAGAACATCATTCGTGCCGGACGATCGAGCCGAGCGGACGTGCGCCAATTTTGTCTCGTGAAGACTTGGGTGTGGTCGGTGTGGTGATTTAGTGGTAGGCCGAGGATATTATAGGATTAAAATAGTTTTTTTTTTGTCTCAAGGCTATTATAATTGTTAACGTAACCTTTGACTAGAGTTTAGACTTCTCACTTTCAAACCATTACTTGTTTGCAGTTCAGCATAAAGTAAAGTAGCATCTGCGCATAGAGGTGCCATGGAGGAAGGGGATGTTAAGAGACTTATTCAGGAAGCTGTTAAGGAGGTGACTAGTGAGATGGAGGGAGAGATGAAAAAAATCTGGGAGGAAAACAAAAAAGTGAAAGAGGAGATACAAAAACTGAAGGATGAAAACCAGACACTGAAAAAGACCCTAGCAGAACTTGACCAGGCCTTAGATGATGTGGAACAGTACAGCCGCAAGGATTCCCTGATCTTGGGAGGTGGAGGCTTTCCGCAAGCCAAAGCTGACCACTATGAGACTCCCTCTGAGACTCGTCAGCTGACCAAAGCCGTGATCGAGGAAAAACTAGGAGTAAAGCTGAAGGGACAGATATCTGCTTGCCATCGCTTAAAAAACAACAAACGTGTCATCATAAAATTCCAGGATCTGGATGACCGCAATGCGGTTTACGAATCCAAATTCAGTCAAACACAGACAGCACAGGCAAGGATCACCATCCATGAAAACCTGACAGCCAAAAGATCAAAGCAGATCCAGCAGCTGGGTGACATGTGGGAGGCTGGCCAAATCTGCAACTATCATACCAAGAACGGCGTCATCATGGCACGCAAAACCAGAGACCAGAGATACATCCCCATCCGAGCCAACATGACCAAGGACGAAATCATCCAAGCTGTGGAACAGGCCCCAAAAAGAAACAACACCCCACAGTCATCCAACCAAAACTTCCTTCGCTCCCAGACCCTGAACAACATCCCATCAGGACGAGTTGCTGAGCAGAGGGCTGACCTTGAGGAGTTTGTGGTCACTCGGAACAGGAGAGGTGGCAGGGGTGGGCGTGGCGGACCTGGACAGAGGGGCTCTGTTTAAACCACTGATGATCTTTTGAAGGACTGGCACTGATTAAAAAAAAAATATATTTCTTAGTTAACTAGCCAGCACTTGTGCTATCACTACATCTGCTCAATGTCACTTGACAGGGAATCTCATTCAGCTGTGCCAAACCTATTCGCAACTTTGGTAAACATCATTGGAGGAAGAACTTTGGCTTAGCATATAAACAAACAATGCAATGGTTTTTCATAAATGTCCCTGGACATGCTCCCGCTCACACTGCCAGTGTGCTATTGGTGTGGCGTGGGAGCATGTGAGTGAGTGTGAGTGTGAATGAGTGAGTGAGGCTGCACGTCTGCCTGATGCAGTTAGTGCAAACAAGCCCAAACTCTACAACATAGAGCTTTTAACACAGAGCATCAGGGACATGTAAATAAATTTGAGTGCAACCACTCCTGAGCACATTGAAAATTATGGAGTTTCCACAGCAAAGACTTGCTATGGCAATAAAACAAAGTTCTGCCAAGGAGCAGACTGAGACCTGGAAAACAAGCTGAAGGACATTCCAGTTATTACCCTCCAATGTTGGTTTATCTTAGTGGCAACTGAATAAATATGTTGAGACTAACACTACAATGTTGCTCAACAGTAAGCACAGAGCAATTCCCCTGACTGAGCAATACAAGTTTTAGCTGAGTGCTGGTATAAAAGAGTATTGTAAATATTTCTAGAAGCCTATAGTTTTGCTTTTGAAATAGCTTTTCCTTCTATGATCATTCAGGTGAAATTGATGAGCTATGCCAGGGACCTGCCTGCTTCTCTTACCTCAGGATGTTCTTTAAAAATAAAAAAACAGGCTATCCCCTGCTCACCAGCATGTCTCAAATCATCAGCCCCCGCCCCCCGCCCCCCCCCCCCCCCCCCCCCCACACACTGACCTACCTTAAGTCCCTTGTCCTTGCTAATGTTTAAACGTGTCTCAGCCTCCTCTGGTGAATGTTTGCAATATCATATGCATCAGCATGGCCATTTTGTGGCTGATTTCATTTTGATTTGAATCAACCGAACACATGTCACCTTAATGCAGACATAAACTTTCACCCAATGAATTAGCCTCAAACAAGTTTGAAACGTTGAAATTAATATAAAACACATTTAATAACATAGTAAGGTATTGGTATTACCTTTCTTCTATCATCTCCTGCCAGCCACTGGTACCTACACACCCCACATTACAATTTACACACGAGACCTTGGCTGGTACTACAAAACACGTGCTCCCCTAATTTACATATTCCTTATGAATGGGTAAAACGTATTTCGTCATCCAGATTTGTCTACTGGCAAACATCACTATTATCTTTCCTTTCACTTTGCTCATTACAATTATTTGGCATTTTGTGATAATACTGAATATAAAAGCAGGTTTTGAATTTTCATAAAATACCTTGGAAAGATTACTGCCCAAATGTTGTACTATTGTAGTTACAACAAGAGAAACAAACAAATAACACAATACAATTATTCCTCTTCCTCAGAGGCACCTCAATCAGTAGTGCTACAAACAAGTGGTGATACGCGTAGTACATTTGAGCGTAGTTTTTCTGGCTCTCTCTATCGTCTGGAGGTTTCGAAAGATGCTCTCCAGAGATGGCGCTAGTAAATTTGGCTGACATGACGTCATGCTAAAAAGTGATGGGTTTTGTGAGAGCAAATGTAATAATAGTTGAAAATTTTGTACTTTTGCTTAATTAAGAAAAATAAATATACAATTGTTCAAAACAGCGTTTTCCTCATTCATCCTTCATTGTTTCAAGAGGAATATAGACAGTTTAAATCTTTTTTCTTGACCGCAATTCGCACACGCACTAAATTAAAAGCTGGAGTTTTGTGCGTTCGTAGATTGTGATTTGAGAAAATAAGTTGACAATAATCTTTTGCACTTTTGCTTTACAATCATTTTCAATGCAGATAAATGCATTGATTATTCGAAAATAGGCATATCTTTGAAATATTATGATTTTCCACAAGCAAATTTTCCCAAAAACTTGAACTACTTACAACTGACGAACGCATCCAATAATCTGGATGTCTTAGGATGAGTTCGTCATTTTTTCCCAAGGAAATACGATACAGTTCAAGCTACTTTACCGATTTATTAGGGTACTTTTGCTAATGAATTAATAAATAAACGACAACAATTAATCTCATTATCAACCATACTCGGAAGAATTTTCTTCGCATAAGCGCGAACACATCCGCGCTTTCATGAAAAGCCACGCCTGTAGATGTCAGGACTGCTGCTTTATGTTTCGCAAGGTGGCGCAGCGCGCAGGGTACCGACTACCGAGGCTGAGGTCTCCAGACTCTCCACCACGATTTAGCTTGGAAATGGCCGATGGGGAAGGTCTCACCCAAAAAACGGACGCCCTTTTACACAGCTGCATAAAGAGAATAAATTATTGGCATAGCTGACCACACGTTCCCTCCCCCTCTCCGCCCCAGCTCAATTGGAAATATCGCCTATTTTCCTTAGTCAGTTATATTCTGACTAATTTCTCACTCTTCCCAGTAAACCTTAACATGCATGATGCAGATGTCCACTGCGTAAGTCGTGTGCTTCCGTAAGTGTGCCAACTATATAGTGTTGCCTACACTCTACAGTGCCTACTGCTTCCCCATTGTCGTTATAATTGGTGATTCTCAGGTCAAAAGTTAC